CAGATAGAGGAAACTGTTAGTGCTTATGAACTTGTTGAGCACCCAGACTACTCTTATTGCTTTGGGGATATTGTGGTCCATAATCAGTTTGGTGATCGAGCTGATAAAGGTCATGAAATCTTTCAAAATTCTTCAGAAGGAAAAAACTTGAATTCGTATCAGAATGAGAATCCCAGTGCATATTGTCTATCCTGTATCGGCATTGTCATTGGGTTTAAAGATGGTGCTGTGGAGGTGAAGTGGGTTTCTGGTCTTACAACAAAGGTTTGAATCTTTTTCATCCTTATTCCAAGATTCAAATCATATGCATACATATTTAATTATTCCATGATTCAAATCATATGCATACATATTTAATTATTCCATGATTCAAATCATATGCGTACATATTTGAAACTAATTTTTGTTGACTACATTCTGTTTTTAGCTCACAGTTCTGTCACCCTTTGAATTTATATTTAGACTTTGTCACAGGTTGCACCATATGAAATTTACCGTATTGATAAATACGAAGATTCAGCAACAATTCCTGTTCTCTTTGAAGAAAATACTGAGGCTTTTAATCAAGATGTTTTGTGCATGAGATGCAGTCTGATAGCCAGAAAGGAAAGGTAAATACAACTCTCTCTCTCATTTCCATTTGCATTTTTTTAGCATAACTTATCTGCCAATCTGTGTATTCTCATCTGGTTGTTTGCAGATGCACCACAAATACATGAAATAACTTGTATTATGCCCCTCACTGAACTAAATAACAATTGTGATTCTATTCTCAGGAGTTGTCGAATATCGATGATGCTGATGAAAGTAGCGAGAAATTCTCATGGTACCTACACCCTTCTTCCGTCCTCAAGTTGCTATTGGACTTTTCACAGGCATTGCTTATAGCATCCTTGGATCTCTTGATACCAGTTCACTGATAAGCCAAGATTCATCTGGTCGTATTTCTCACAATGCAAAAGAGTATGACATTATCCTTGAGGAAGAAGTATTGGAAACTTGCCATCAGTGTGCTGAACAAGATACGAGTGAGTTGCAGATATTTGAAACAACAAACATAGAACAGGAAGCCGAAGAGTTTGAGGAAAACAACGGTAGTATGTTGCCTAAACCCGGGGAGACTTCCAACAAATTTAGGCGGTTTGATATGGTCAGTGATTGCTCAGATCACCACTTTCTTGCTGAAAGTAAGGCGTTGGCTGTGTCTCAGGTTCGAAACACAACTTTGTTAACTCTTAAAACATACCATTTGAGTTGCTCAAAACGGTCCAGATAATCATTTTAGTTTTCGTAATTGTCCTTACTTTTAGGTCAAAAGAAGTTGGCTGAAGAAGGTTCAGCAAGAATGGAGTATTCTAGAGAAAAACCTTCCTGGTTAGCATTTGATCTTACTCTTTAGAATGATTTTATGTGTTGCATGTATTGATACACTGCCCTTGTTTTTTCGGTTACTGCTGATTGAATGCTTAAACTTTAAACCTGTTGCTATTTTCACGAGACTATTGTTTACCTGAGCAGAAACTATCTATGTCTGTGTATACGAGGAAAGGATGGATCTATTACGAGCAGCCCTTGTTGGTGCTCCTGGAACACCCTACCATGATGGGCTGTTCTTTTTTGACATTTTTCTCCCTTCGGAGTTCCCGTATGAACCACCGGTAAGTTCCACTATTCCAACCTTGCTGCTAATTAAAGGATCAATCGGCTAAGTAGTTGTTGCTTTCGCAGTGTTTATCAATCAGCTAAGTAATTGTTGCTTTCGGAGTGTTTATCTCTATAATGCCTAGAAATTATTAACATCATTGATTCATATCGTTTCGTATACAATAAAGTATTTCCCTTTTGAGAAAAAGAGGAAACATTCCAATTCATATTCTCCGCACAAATTGATTTATAAATACCAGTGTTCATGTAAACTAATGAAAATGTTAATATACGCCAAAGACATATCATGACATTTATGTTTATCAAAATTTTGCAGATGGTGCATTACCATTCAGGGGGGTTTCGCCTCAATCCCAACTTGTATGAATCTGGGAAGGTTTGTTTAAGCCTTCTAAATACGTGGGCAGGTTCGGACACTGAGGTCTGGAATCCAGGAAAATCCACAATTCTTCAAGTTCTTCTTTCCCTCCAGGCCCTTGTGCTTAATGAGAAACCTTATTTCAATGAGGCCGGGTATGATAAACAGTTAGGAAGATATGAGGGGGAGACAAACTCCGTAAGCTACAACGAAAATGCTTTCCTTGTAACCTGCCAGTCTATGCTTTATCTACTCCGGAAGCCGCCCAAGGTAAAATTCCATATTTTAACTATTTTTTTCCAGCTCTCTTTGCATTTGTTGAATTGATGGAGTTAATACTGATGCTATCTCTTGATTGAATGCCTATTTCTCTGCTGGATCAGCATTTTGAGGCCCTTGTCAAGGAGCACTTCAGTAGACGTGCTGAAACTATTCTCTTGGCGTGCAATGCATACATGGAAGGAGCCCCAGTAGGATTTGCTCTTGAATGCAGCAGAAATGAGCTTGATGTTAACTTTAAAGGAAGTTCTACGGGTTCAAAATCATGCTTGCCAAGCTTTTCCCGAAGCTTGTGGATGCATTTTCAAATCAGGGAGTGGATTGCAGCCAATTCCGGGATAAGTAAACGTATCACTAAGGTGCTAGTAGGTAAATGCAAATGTTCATTACATTACTGAAAATTGCTATAATGTGAGTAGCTTTGTGTAATAGTCATCACCTGAATTCGAGACGAAATCGAATAAAGATCCCTGTAAGAAGGTTAGTTTTGTATCATATCAAGTGTTCTATGACCGTAGAAAGCTATCCCTAATATGCTTGTGCTATGACTGTACAAAGCTGTTGTTTTCAGACAATAAGATTGTTAAGAAGTGATGATTGGATTGTTGTGCTTCGATTAATCTCTTTTGGAGTTTCCCAAACTCTAGTTCCTATTCTGTTTCAGTTTCTATTTGATGTTAGAACTATACCTTTTCTAGATTATGAATTTGCTATATCTTGTATTGTTTATCTAAAAATGAGAAACCCTAAATATGCTTTTAGATAAACAGCAGCAAAGTTCATCCCAACAGTCTCGACAAGAACATGAACCATCTTTAAAATGATGAAACTGAAGCCTGTCACGAACGGTAATCTCCGTATCGGCAATAAACGAGATATGTTTGATAGCCATACGACAATCCTCACACATTCGAAGGTTCTTTACAATCCCGATCGGCATGCCAAGCGGCATAAGTTAAACCCGAGGAAGATGAAAATCAAGTTTTTGATGCAGATGAAGAGGATCTTCATAAATGGCTTGAAAAAGCAAGAAGAAAAAAATAAGGTCCACAACCTATAACGCTTCTTGCTACCACAGCAGCTGGCAATCAAACTACAGATGATCAAAACACCTTCGCTGAAGAGGCACAAGAAAACAAGGTTGTAATCATAGAGATGGAGGACTAGAAGTCTTTATGGGGTCTTCCGCTTGATGAATGACAGTGAAAATGTTTTCATGGATGAGGATGAAGGGCCGGGACCTTCTGAACAAGATAGAAAAAAGCAGAAAATGAGGTGGGTGGGATGGTCGGAAGTAGCTGATACTAGTGTTGAAAATCATGCTAATGAGGATAATGATGAGATTGTTTCAGATGAAACCATTCACGAAGTTGCAGTTGGCAAAGGATTATCAGGTGCGCTGAAGCTTCATGCGTAGACGGGGGTTGATGGAAGACATGAACTAAAGAAGATAATAGAGGTTGTTCGTGACAGTTCATCTCTTTTGGTTTGGACGAAGAATCGCAATAGTTGATAGAAGAGAGATGAGCTAAAGAAAATAATAGAGGTTGTAGTAATTAGTTGCGGTTCACCTCTTATGATTTAAACGAAAATTGTATATGATGTATTCTAGAAGAGAGGTGAGCTGAAAAAGATAGAGAGAGAATACAGGAGAGATTTCGAGAGAGTCCTTTTTTCTCAGTCTTACATGGTAACTTATATACAAAATCTCTTAGCGTTGATTCTAAGGTGATGATGGCTGTTCATAGGTTGGCAAGACGAATAAACCTGACTGTTAGTAGATGTGGTGGGTCTGCCAAAGCAATGGCCGATCTGTTGTTTTTTCAGGGTGCACACGCGTTCATCTTGAAATTGAATTTTCTTCGATTAGTTATATATTTTATTGATAGTGCCCACCCCATTCATAATGTGTATAAATTAATATACTTGTGTCTAGCTTCAAAAATATTTTTAATCTGCCATTGTGCCGGTAGTTATGCAAGAGGTTGTATCTAGCCAAAGGATATAGAACTCCAAATCGAGAAACTCCGAAAGAATGGTAGCGGAAGTGTGCCTTGAGGTCTGGAGAAGGTACAATAAAACTATTGAATGGGGTGGCCGAGACATGGACAAGAAAGAGAGCAAACCTGTTGGCATTGTGGATGATGATCATAAAAATGATAGATTTAAAGATATTCGAATCAAAGGATGGATGGATTTGGTTGAATTATGACTCTCAAGGAAGCCTTCCGGATGTTTTCCCATAAATTTCATGGCAAGGGACCATGCAAAATGAAGCAAGAAAAACGGATGAAGCATTATCAGGAAGAATTGAAGCTGAAGCAAATGAAAAATTCAGATACACCTTCACTTTCAGTGGAGAGGATGAGGGAAGCTCAACTATTGAACACAAACGCAAGTAGTACAGAATTTCCAAATACCGTTTTCAGTTCCGATTCCATGTTATGTATAATTTGACTTGTTTCCATTACCTATGATAAAGATTAAGATGGAAGCTGTTTGTGTTTTGAGTTTAGTTCAGTTAATATTATTGTTGGTATAATATATAAGATGTAGAATCAAGCATGTTTAAACTAAAATGTACTTTAATTTATAGATGGAGAAGAATTTGAATAATATAAGCATCATATCATATTATTCAAAAAGATGAAGGATGGTGAATAATTCAATAAAAGAACGAAAGAAGCTATAGCCTTAAACAGACAGTTCAATAAAATCCTTTTTTTTCTAAAACGCTGTACTAGAATAGAAAGACAAAAAGCAAACTTTGGATACTGCAAAGCATATAGGCTAAACAATTGAAAAGATTAGAAGAGTTCAGACATCACCGTATTCGTGAAATAAAGCAAAACTTCAATCTTCAGGTGGGAAGCCTTCGTCCGAACCATTGTCCAGAAAAGTGCCAAGAGTTTTCCTCAACATGCCGAAAGTTTATCATCCTGCATCATGCAGAATGTGAACTGAATATAATTTTATACATTATTAATTTTGGTTGCCTTGTACATTATCAATTAACTAAATAACATCGTCTCATTATAAATGAAATTTTATATATATAACATTGTCTATTGAAATATCATCATTCAACTCATTATACATGGCATTTTGTTAAATATGAATCTTATTATGATACATCATTAATATACTAATAAAGAAATTTAAATAAAATTTATATTTAATACATTAACGATATAAGTGACATAATGTGATTTATTATTAATATATAGATTTACGTTATAATCAAGGATTGACTAAGAGATGTTAGGAACTGTTAACTTCTAAAAAATTTACATTTCCTGACATAAAATCCAAAGTTCATCGGTAGAATAACGGTGTATATCGAATGTAAATGATTTAAAGCTAAAGTAATAAAATCACATATTCAAATGTTGGATTTTTGTTATATTTACCTGTTTCTTTTTCTTCAAGGACTCGCCCAAGTGAGAAATTCTATCAGCACAGAATTTCTCTTGCTCAGATATTAAGTTCTTCTCTCTTTTCCCTAATGCCAACCAAAAATCAAATTAGTAGAATCGGGTTTCAGTAAAAACAGGGGAATGACAGAGTTCGGTGCTTTATTGCTCACTCAGTTGTTCATATCGCCCGAACAGCATTTCTTTGTCTTCCTCAAATTTGGAAATAGTATCTGTGGAGCGGTATTAACGATCAGATCAGAATCAAAAGTCTCCGTCTACAACGAAATATAATTGTTTAGCAGTATCAATTCAAATTTAATGGTTTATTTCGTATCATAAACCTCAAATTCTGAAAAAGTCTAAAGTCAAGAATTATCTCAAGTTTTATCTACCATCTTTCTTACCCAGACTCATCGAGTATCAAATATGGTTATATCAACCAGATATGAATATGCTTAGTTTTTTTCCAAGTTTATTTGTAGATTTGAAAGATCTTACGTTAAACCCATGTCCTAATATAAAGAGTATGGCAACATAGTCTACTTGGGAACAAATCCTAGGCTATTTGAGATTTCACCTAACAGTTTCAACATTAAGGAAAAATAAAGAACTGCACTTATTATGCTGAAATTTAAAACAAACCAAATCATAAAGCTTTAACAAGCTAATTAGCTGGGGGTGGTTCCGGTAACAAATGACCAAATAATAAAGAACTGCACTTATTAGTCAGGTAAAAGAGAGTGTTGTTCTCCTTAAATGATACTAGTTCAAACAATTACATCTATAGAGTGTGTAGCCGTTATCAATAACTAAAAATTTTGAATAAATACTATGTTGTAATTACTCAGACTATTAAAATAATAATAATACAAATAACAATGTATCTTCTTCGTGCATTAGGTAGCACGAAGGACAACTAGTTTGAAAATGTTAAAAAATAAATTAATGTTTTTTTATCAAAACATTAAAATTTACTCTATTAGTAATTTATCAAAATCCACCTTTCAGGGCCTGCAGATGGGCAGCTTTTTCTTTGCAGAATTTCTCATAAACCTCTTGAAACTTTGTAATCTCATCCTTCAAGCAGTTTTCACACTGCAAATAAAGCAATCGCATTAGCATTTCAAGCTTTCAACCCATTTAGTAAATACAAATAACAAATTCACCTCTTTTGAGCTCTTTGAAAGTGCCTTAACAAATGTTTGTCTACAGTTAAAAAACAAATTAACAGCAATAAATTAGTATTTTTTCCATTAGGCACTTGCTTAGAATTAGATTTGCTAATTTTGGACACAATATGACAATACTAGAATTATATTTGTATAAATATATCATACTTCAAACACAACTGTAGCAAGTATAAAATATATGTACATAACAAGAACACGAGCTAGATAATTAGAATTTTGTTTCAAGTTCGGATTATAAGTAGGCTAGTTTACCTTTCCTTCTCAATTTTTGACTTCAGTTCTTGAATCTTAGACTTTATCTCAGCAGCCACACTGTAACCGCCGACAATATACAAGTAAGAGACTAATAAAAACCAGAAATTAATAAGGAACTGAGAAGAAAAAAGAATTTATGTTACAGTTTTATTATTTCATTTTCTTCAAAATTAAAATTATTTATGCAAAGAAGAAATTTGATAAATTAATTGCAAGGAAGATTAAACGAGCTAAAAAATCATTTGAGAGAACGTAATGATCTTCGCAAATGACTAACGAAACTCGTATAAATTCTGAGTAACAGAGTCCAAAATAACAAATGACTTAAGAAACTCGTATAAACTTTTCAAACTCATGAAAGCTGATCAACCAAAATTATACATTAATTTGCAAAAAAGAAAACATGACAACTAAAAATGTGGAGAAAAACAACTTCACCGTGGAATCTATGGAGGATATATCATATAGTGAAACAGTCTTATGCAGAATTTTCATTTATTCCAAAAACTTCAAATCAGTATCAGAAAAGAAAACGAATAATTATGTATATTACCTGGAAATCGTCTCTTCGTTCTTCTTTTGACCGTCCTTCTGCGCTTTCTCTTTGATCAGTTGCAGCGCCGACATAATCCCTTTGAGATCGCTGTAACTTTCACCAAAATTTCCTCAACAAACAAAATATTCAACAAAAATAAAATATAGAAAACATAAATGTTGTTGATACAAATGACCTGGAAATATCAGGATCGAAATCATCGACTAATCGGGTCTTCGGATCGGATTTAAGCAAAGACTCTGGTATTCGCTTTTTGCTCTCGTTTGGCTTGTTGACATTGTTTCAAATTTTGTTTGGAAATTTTTGGAGTTCAAAATGGAGAAGTAGGAGAGCGAGTGAAGTTTCTCTGTGTGAGAGAAAATACAAGTTTTGAAATTCTGCTGAGTTGTAGAAAATGGAGGTATTTGGCTGCTTGGAAACTGGAAATGCCGTTTTTTTTTACGCGCTCAAATGGCGCTCTTTTTCTCTTAAAATTCAATTACGCAATGTTTAATTCTGGTTAAATATCATTTGATACCTAATTATAACTTCAATATTCAATTTGGTCCCAATTAAATAACTATTTTAACATTGAAACCTACCAAGCTCAAGTACCCAAAAAAATCTAAGGAAAATGGGATTAATTTTAAAAAATTGTTAAAAATTATTACTTAAGATCATTTATTGTGAAGTATATACTTTTTGGTAGGGAAAGAAAAAGCCTAATTACACAAGGACTATCCTTATTAAATATACATATTTACCATTAGAGACCTCGTTTTAATCCGAATTCAACAGATTTTTACCTAATTTGATAGTTCCATGTTTTTTAATAAAAATAATAATTGGATTGGGTCAAGTTATGTCGGATTTTATAGAGAGTAAAATCAGATCAAATTTGAGTTTAGGGTGAAAATCTCTATCTTATATTTCTTATAAGTTTATACATAATTGTTATAGTATCCTTCTTTCTATAATTTTTTCAGTTAGGTCTCTATTTGATCAAATAAACATTATTTTTTATATATTTATGTCATATTGATTCAAATAGAAAAAATATATTTTTCTGATAAAGCATCTCAAATAAATAAGATAAACCTTTTAGATTAGATCGAATTTAAATAATTAAAATATATTTCTCAAGTCAAATTAAATTAAGCAAAAAATAAAACCTAACCCAACCCATTATTATCCCTATTTACCATTGCGTGAACTATGAAGTTGCCTTCCCGGTAAGCATCAATCACTCTAACCTCCCCATGGCCTCTTTATCAAAAGCTTCCTTCCTCTGTCCCCTATGTCTGGTCTTTGTATTTATTTCAGATATTTTTTAAGGATAAATTATACCATATAATTGAATTATATACAAATGTTTATTTTAGTCATTAAATTTTATAATTATTAAATTTATTAAATTGTTATAAAATATCATTGTGATATTGTAATAAATGCAAAATTTTAATAAATTTAATAATTAGTTGTAATAAATTGATATAATTTAATGATAATTTCATAATATTTTGATAAAATTTAATGACTGTTTTATAATTTTTGAAAGTTAAGTAGTAAAAATGATCATATATATATATATATATATCATGCAAACAACATGAACTGATAAATTTAATTTCGAATATTTTTTATTCCATCACAAATTTTATGCCTTCATTTTTTACGCAAAAACTTTACTATATAAACCCTTTTTACCAATCAAACCAAAACCACATAAAATGGCAGCAAATTGGGTTCTCTTAGCCTTACTATTCTCACTATGTTTCGCGACTTCATATGGTAAGAGGACCGGTGCCTCCTCCATGCAAGACAGAGTCGGAAAACACACGTTCCAGTCAAGCAGAGATTTCGTGTACGAACCCGATCCTGACTCTTCACCCTCCGGCAATCGTGATCATCCCGATTTCGGTATTCCCGACAATGAAAGAAACCCTCACTGTCGCTACTGCGACAATGCCGATAACATCTACCAACCTGGCTATGTCACCAGCGGCTTTTGCGGCAACAGCTGCAGTTGTCAATGCAACCCTTGCAGCATAGGGATTGGTTATGAACTCGAGGGACTCAAACGAACGATTAGGCACCTTACCATGAAACTTTAAGCCATGGTTTATTAGAGCAAAAGAAGGCGATGAATATGAACGCCATGGCACCAGAATCTTCATAGATTTATATATATACACATATAAGATTATATAAACTACGGGTTCTAATGTGCTAGCTGTTTTTATTATATGAATAAAAGAAATTTGAAGGACGCTTGATTTGAAATGAAAATGGAAGAGAAATATTATAAGGATAAGTATTTAAACTCTAATTTCTATGGTTTGAAAAATGTTAACATAACTACGCTTGATTTAGGTGTTTAAATTTTTTTTCGGTCAGTATAAGTGTCTAACGTTTCCGATGTTATTATTTTAAGTGTCTATACCTAGCAACCATTAAATTCTTTTATTAAAAATCAATCAATTTATCAGTATTTGACATGTGGTTTATTTTTTTACTCTCTCTGTCTCATTAAATTTGTTCTTATTGATACTTTTTGGTCATTTTTTAACTTTGACTCGTTATTATTTACAATTTATTATTGATAAAATATAAAAAAATATTTTAAAAACTTTCAATCAAATAGTTTTTAAATATATATTTTATAAACTCGATTATTTAAAATAATGATGGTCAAAATTTAAAATATTTCTTTTATCAATTTTTTTAAATAAAATCGATAAATCTCTAAATAATCAAATTTTCTAATTTTTCAAAAAAAAAATATCCTAAAAGTCAAAAAATCTAAAAATATCACTAACCTCGTCCCAGTTAATCACTAGTCGCTATCAAAAATATTGTTATTATCATTGAGCGGTCACTCACTCATTATCTCCATCATCGAACACCCCTTCTAAATCAATTGTTGATAACATATAAACTCTCACAAATTGAATCTAATTTAATCTATTACCTAATTTTTTTCATTAATATAGGTCTCTAACAATTTTGACGATACTATTGTAAGTGTCTATGTCATAATGACCGTTAAAAAATTTCGTCAATCACTTAAAATGTGATACATTGTGCGTTTATATTTTTTGATAAATTTATTTAAATAAAAACTTAAAATTATTTTAGTAATTCGACTTCACTCGATTTATAATTTTGTGGGAGTTTATACGGTTTCGACGATTGACTTGAATCATATTAAGCCTAAATAATATGATATTAATTCGACTCGACTCTACTCATAATTTTATAAACAACTATAAAAGTTTTAAATAAAATTCAAGTTATAAAATAAGACTCAAATAACTCAAAATATTTAGTAATTAGTACATTAGTTTTTAAGTACGAGTCGAGTTTCTCTACTCTACATGTTATATTTATATTGTATATAAAAAATATATATCTACATATCGTATATGATTATAAATTAAATTAAATTCAATTAATATCATAATATTATAAATAGAATTCGAACAACTCCACCCAATTAGAAAAAAATTAAAATAAAAATAAAATTATCAGGTAGAAAATTTTTTAGTACGACAACTCAATCGAATATCCACCCCATAATTAACTACCGATGCGATACCCTTCGAATCCCAAAGCTTAAAAGAACCAAAGATCCAATTTTCGTCCGTCGAAGACGCCGCGTTTGGAGAAAGCAAGAAAAAGAAAATGATACCTCAGCAATGGGCTCCTGCTTGTGGAAGTCAATGCACTGACAAATACGCCGCTCTTACGCAAATTCCTTGTATTACTTCCTTTTTTTCCTTCAAATTTTTGTTTCATTCCTGTTTTAAACTGTACGATTCTTTCTACTTTTTAATAATTTGGGATGCCCGATTCTTCCAAATATCAATTTAATAGATCTTATTATTTTGTGTATTCTTTTTAATTGATTGCATTTGAAGCTTCTTCCGTCGAGGTCAAGGTTCTGTTTAATTCTTTATTTTATTTATTTGTTTTTGTGTATCTTGTTGTTTTATTGCTTTATTTGTACGGATTGAGAGGGTTTCTCCCGATGTTTTTAATGGATACTCAACCTCTGTTGCAAGTTTTGGTTGTTGATTTTTAATAACATGAGCTGTAAAATGGCTACCAGTTTCCCAGAAATTTGTGCATTTGTGCAACGAGTTGCTTATAAAATGAATTTGGGATTTTCTTCATTTTGATTTCCACCTATTTCTGAATCATGGGCAATGGTTGATTTATCTGAGAATTCCATTTGTATGTCAGCCATCTATGAACGCTACTAAAAATAGCGATTTCTTGTAGGGAGAGTGTTTTGCAAAAAAGGGTGTAGCGCGGATGGAGAGACATGGGAAGAATGTAAGCATATTTGTATTAATTGTTGCTTTTGATTTCAGAACCGTTTCCGAGGAGAAAGTTGTATGTTCCATCAAATCTGGTTTAGTCAGTGGTTTGATGTTCCTTGTTCGGCTTTCCGGTGCTTGGATCAGATTTACGAGCAATTAGTCTCTCTAAATAATGATGGTTCATTGTTGATTAATGTATTAAGCATTTAATTTTTTGGATTATTCATGATGATTTCATCGATTGGCATAGTTCTTTAGCCAACCTTAATGAACACCGGTGAAACAGCATATCTTTTAAAGCTGATTATATCTTTATTTTTATGACTATTCACTTTTCAGGTTTATCGGAGTGTGATGAGATGTGCTATAAGGATCCTGTATTAAAGGACCAGAAATGGAGTGCTTACATTGATCGCTCCCCTGGAGCTACCAATTACTCCCAGGTACTTAATCTTGTGGCCATTTTCATCCCATTTTCTCACCTGTAATGATCCTAGTCCTAGATATTGTCGTTTATTCCGTGTTTTTTCATGTCTTATATGGTTGAACTGTTGTTCGGTCATCGGATTGTTATGAGCTGCATTTTATGTTATGTTTTACATGTTTGAAAGAATGAACATCTGAAAGTCTGCTATTATGCAGATTTAGTCAACTTATCTTCTCTTTAGAAATCTAGTACAGTACTTTAGCAAAAGGTTTTTAGTACCTTTTGAGTTTGGTGTTCACTTCTGCTATTCAGAGTTGATTATTTACACTGGTTTGCAATTGCTTTTTAGTGTTAGACAGGTTGTGGCACAGCAAACTTAGTCTTTGTGTGTATCAAAGGCAATATTCTCCTGTAAGTGCTTTTACGGCGCTCTGGAGTTGATAACCTGCAATGCTGCTTGATTATATTTGGAATGTTCTTGGAAACACACACACACTTGAAATTATTGTGCAAAAAGGGTAAAATCCATTACAAGGATGTAATTTTCTCAGTAGCAGCCCCGAGGTACTGTCTGTGTGCTAGTAGAGCTAGATCCACTGGTTGTATTGCTTCTAGACTTCGTAAAATGGGATATGCTTTTGTTTTTTGCAAGATCCTGCCTTCTTTTCAGAAAAGATGAGCACCATAATCACATGGAAGCTTCATTAGAGGTGACTTATTCTGTTGTTATCCTGATTATATTGTGCATAATATGGCACTTCCAAAGAAATTAAAGGTGAAAGTGCTGTGGTTTGAAGAACATTAATACTCTTATTTACTGGAGATACATGTGACTCGGAATGTGTTCTTCAGACATCTCATAATTCAAAAGTATAAGAAATCCATAATACGGATTAGTGAAATAAGCAATATTTTTTGTCAAATATTATAATATTAAATTCATTGTTGATTTTTTTTATCATACAGGAATGCTTCAGTGCCTGCGTAGCTGGCTGTGGTTATAAGGTTGGTCTGAGCTTGCGAACTTACACTTGTTACTTGCTTTCTTCACCTACGTTTTTATCTGCAATTTCTTGTTTCTTTACACATTGCAGTTTGAAATATGTAAAGAGATTGTTGCGCAAGTCAGACCAAGGCCATTGCTACTCAGTCCTCCTCCAGTGGTGAAACCGCCACCAGACTCTACACCTGATGAACAGGCCGAAGATGTACCAAGTACTTCAGCATAGCAAGAGATGAAACATAAAGTTCGATATAATCTTTATTAGCTGAATAGTCTGCTACGAGAGATTCCTCATGTTGCGGGCATGCTAATATTGATTGATAAAGTCTTGTCTGGTGCTGTTTCGGCGAATAAACTTCCTTTTTCTTCTGTAGTTTGCCACGTCAGTTTCTAACTTATTTAACCCTTCAAAACATTTCTGCTAATTAATATGGGAAGGCGATGTGCGACTACAATTTTGTTAATCGTGGCCACATGGAAATGCTTTTATCATATTTGATGATTTGGGAATTTCCATATTCTGAATGAAACTCCTTTAGTTTTGTTTGGAAACTATACGAGCTATCACCATTTGCATCTTATTGTGGGTGAACTTGGTGAATGAAATTTTTGGTATGTAACAGACCGTAGCCTGTTATAAGCCCATCTGATTCCTCAAAGAAAGTTCTTTGCTCACCGAATTGATATACTTGTTAATAAGACGTACCCCCCCCAGCCCACAAATGAAATCCGTTTTTAGTAATGTAATTGATATAAAAAAACAGCTCAAATGGACACATCAATTCGAATCCAAAAATAATCCGAATAAAATTCAGTATCTACCTACAACATCATATCTCAGAAAAGTAAATAAATAAATAAATAAAAGTTACTGGATGATCACAACTTAGGTGTGATTGGGGATTCTTCCCATTTTTGCCTCTGAAAATAGGTTCTTTCAAACCGACAATAAACAGGGAAATGAGTCGAAAGAGTAACAACAACTACGGTATAATGCAGATGATGCCATCAACAAATGAAAGCTGAATGCACAACCAAGCAGGAGGCGGCTTTGGGCCTTATACCATCAAGTCCTGCATCTTGCAGTGCAAAAGATAATTACTTTAAATGACTAATCAATAAATAATAAGTTCCATCATCTAAAACAGCATGATAGAAATTTGATTCATCAAGAAAATTACAACCAATAACAATATTGAGTAAAACTCCTAACGGAACCAAGGGTGGAAAGGGAGAGAGCGAAATGGGAAAGGCCTATTCGGATTTTTTTGATAGCTTCCTCTTCATTCGGCTAAAAGGGCCGACACTCCTGTCCATAATATACATGTAAATAACCTGGCTCCATGATTTATACGAATCCAAGCCTTCATAATATTCGGGAGCAATTTCCTTCACCTTATACAGTTTGTTCCCCGGAATCCTTGGGAAATCGTGGTGCTCGTTGTGGTAACCAACACTCCATGTCATAAAATTCAGGGGACCATAATAAGAATATGTTTCTTGTTTAGGATTGAATACGTAATGCTCGGAGATGAAATGGCCGGCCATTGGGTGCATTCCACCGCCAACAAATGTTGAAAGGATCAAATAAGCAAAAGATTTCCAGCCCCAAAAATAAACTAACATGGCATCAAGAGCAACCTGAATAGTTAAGTTGATGAACTCCCAATAACCAGGGGGCTTCGGTTGGAGAAACAGAGGGCGGAGAGCGTAGAAGAAGAGTTGGAAGATGACCCATACAGCTTTCGTGACAGAATTAGTCACAAAATGGGCTTCAGAGTGGCTCGGGACATCCATGTCAATGCCATCTACCCCTTGGAAACGATGATGCTCGAGGTGATACTTCTGGAAAGTGACAGACATTGGCACACCTATAGGGAGATTAGCAAAAATCCCGAGCCAACGGTTGTAAACAGGAGTGGAGAAGGCAAGATTGTGGCTGAGCTCATGGATGGCTAAGAAGAGATTGTGGTTGAGGAAAGAACCAAAGAAATAGGCAATTATCAACATCTTCAGCCAGCCGGCATCACGGAGGATAATTGCAGTACATAGCTGAAGTAAAACAACCACAGTAACCTGCAAACACAGTTTCGAGATAAGTATTGCCCATTTCGTCGTTTCAAAGTTTCTTAAGCTGAAAAGACCAGCAATAAAGTGGAAACAACAACGACACCAAATAAAATAGATGCTTTTGGTAAGAACTCGATTTCGACTCCAACTAAATTTGATGTGAACCACCACATCTTCATATGTCAAAGCTACTTGACTCTTCATTTTCTGAGAAATAATCGTGTCCAATACAAGACAGAGGTGGTACATTCATACATGAATTGGGATATAACTCTCCAAGAACCCTCCAAATACATGAAAAACCCGGAAACATATATGGATCCTATAAATCCTAATCTGAGTGACATGACTAAAAACACAATAATGAAGCTAAATTAATTTAAGGAAAACTAGTTTATTTTTCTTAGCTATAATAGTAATTTGGAACCTTGCAATAGATCTTGATGAGTTCAGCACAACAAATCCAAACAAATTTCAAATAAATATCACTGTTCTCAGAAAGTTGCCAAAGCAAAATAGATATAGATTCCACCAAATCAACAACCATTTCAATGAAATCGTATCATAGATGAACTATCCCTGAAATCAAATCGCATAAAGAACTTAATACCAAACAATGTGAATTGAAAGATCCAACTTCTGCGGAAAGACCCAGCTTTCCAGTTAAGGTAAATAAACAAAATAACTTAGAACCAAATGGATTCAATCCACTTGCATTGTCATTCCCTGGGATCTAAAAGGGCAACAAAAGAAACAGGAAAAAAATGAGAGGGGAATGAATACCTTAAGGAAAGCAAAAGGATCAGGGCCAAAGAGCTCTTTAATTTGGGGGTATTGAGAGAGGATCTGACGTCTCCTAGAAGCATGAGGTTCGTCTGTGTATGACCAGAAGAAGTCATTCGCCATTAATATCTCTTCTTTATCTTCCTCTCTCTTTTCTCCTCCTTTCCCCATCTCTGTCTATCAACCGTTTGATTACCCTTTCCTGATCTTCCAACTCTGCTTCTTTCTTTGGAAATGGTTTTGCTTTTTGTGTGTGTGGAAAATTAAACATATATATAGACACATATAAAAGAATATAGATAAATTGCCAATTTATGAGAGCCTAAAACATTTCGAAGGCTTTTTAACAAATGGACGGCGTTGATGCAATTGCACGGGTCAAACTTACAAAACCCAGCTTGGAATTTCGACCTTTTTAATTAAACTTTTAACTATTCAAGATTAACCATTAAAATACAACCCCACGTGATACAAGATTAATCTAAAGTTCTCCAACATGAAACTTCAGTATTGAACTTATACGCAACTTTTTACTTCCGTAAAAAAAAGTTCATATCACAGATAAATATTAAGTATATCATACATTTTATTTAAATACTTAAAATATATTTTTAATTAAAGTAAACATCTAAAATTATCTTTTTGATCAAAATAGGTACCTACAATGTTTTTATCAAAACAAGTATCTAAAGTATTTAACATTTTTTATCTAAGTTCTAAAAAAGTTGACATGTTTAGATGCATAAATGAAGAAGTTTTAATATTTTAGATATATATTTTGATTAAAAAAATACTTTAGATGCAGATTTTGACCAAAGATACAACTTTAAGTACTTACTTTGATAATAAAAAAATACTTTAAGTACATAAATGAAAAATATGATATACTTTTGATACTAATTTATAAGATAAACCTTTGTAAAATGATCTTAATGAAATAATAGTGTTGCTATAAAATAAAAATGTTAGTATTAACTAGTAAGTAGTAATAAAATAATAAATGATATAAGATAATCCATTATATCATGGTAGAAGTCACTATCTTATAAGTAAATTCATATGGATTGATGTAATTTCAAAAGTGGAGGTTGTCCCTCAAAATTAACATAATCTTTCAAATTTCATACACTCCGAATGAGGAAGTGAAACTCGTTTGTGTTACTCTATTCGACTGGAAAAAAATCAAGAAAAAAAATATTAAAACCATCAACTGTAGATTCCAATTAAGGAGAGGAACTATCGCATTTATAAGAATAAGAGATAAATTTGTGAAATGACAACTACCCACTCCAACCACTTCATAAATATGAATAATTCACCCTTAAAATAGCCTTTCACTATTTGCATTATTAATAATTTAAGTTTTCAATATGTTTAACACGTTTGAAGATGATTTAAAAAGTTAAGAGATAACTTTTAGATTCATAAAAGGATATTTCAACATAAAACATCTAAATTTTATTTTGATACTACTATTTTTCTTTTATTAAAATAGTACTTAAAATATTTTATTTTTCATAATGACGCTCATTTCAGTCACATAATTAATTATCAATAATTTTATTTGGATACTACTATTTTTCTTTTATTAAAATAGTACTTAAAATATTTTATTTTTCATAATGACACTCATTTCAGTCACATAAAATAAAGATACACCTTCTAAAACGTGTCTTTTGGAAGGAACTCCTCTACCTGCATAGCTGGTAATCCAATGACTTTTCTTATGTTAACGACTTTTTCCATGTTAACGTCACTTAAGACCAAATAAAAGAGATAAAAATAATATAAAGGGTGAAGAATTGTACAAATTTTATTCAAAAATAAATAATATGTATTGTACGTGTTAGTAACACGTAAGTGCACGAGCACAAATTGATTGGACAACAGCAATGACAACACACATATATACGTGTAGAAAACTATATTTAAATACATTAAAAACTGATAACAAAATTGGATTTTTATCATGTCAAATATCATATTTTTTATATATAAGATTTTTAAAGTATTTAAATATAATTTTCTATGCATTTATTCATGGAGTGATTAAAGACATTATCTATACATGTACATTATTATATTTGTTTGATCAAATTATACTTGTATAATTATATATTTTAAACAAGTACAACGTGTGTACTTTCTTCACACATTTTGGAGGGTGCGTCTTGATTATCACTTAATTTATATTATAATTATATATAAATTAAAATTAATGTTGTATTTTTTTGGAATGAAAGGAAGGCTAGCTAGTTAAGTACGGAAGCGTTTAAATTAGAATTATTTGCAGCTATACATAATTAAGCCCACCTGATTCAAAGTCTCCTGTTTCATGAGTCCACCTGATTCAAAGTCTCCTGTTTCATGAGTTGTTTTACCAAGTGAGCCTCATTTCATATGCCCCTGAAATTGCCTTTAATTCCTTTCACGCTAAACATAATAATTTGAAGCGAGTCTGAGAAGAAACGACAAGATAGGTTTACCTATCAACCTGTTGCATTGCCCAACCCAAAGCAGCTACTGCTTCCACCCCACCAAAACCATCCCACAAACTCGTGTATTTACGAAAATAACCTTTCAGTTCAAACTGCAGTTGATAACTACCAAAACTGTTTCCGACAATCAGTTCCTCTGTCTCTCATGGAAACCTTAATTTCCAAAGCTCCAATCAAATTCAAAATCTCCAAATCCCAAATTTCTACTTCGGTTTTCCCTTTCTATTTCCCCTCACGACAAAGGATCAAATTCCGTCGTTTCTCCCGTAGGAACTGCCTCCAAATCGGTTGAAGCCTCAATGTTACTCCCGCCAAGGCTTCTTTATTGGCTGAACCCTCAAGTTACGGCGGGTGGGACGATTTTGAGCACGGCACTTGGTCTTCTGACTCGGGTGAGTCAATTCGGTTCCGTGATTTCCTTGTCTCTATCGGGATTTATGATAAGAAACATGTTTTTTTTTGTTTTTATCGGGGCTCGTTTGTGCCTTGGCGATTTCTAGGGTTGGGGTTTCTACGATTGTGTTATTTCCAGCTTCTATTTTGGTTTTTGGTATTGGGTTTTCGTGTGGGTTTGTTAAAGGAGGAAGTTTCACGGAGTCAAGTTCAAATAAAAGGAGGTCAAAGGAGGAAGCTTCAAGAGTTTATAGTGAGAAAGTGAGGAATTTATAGTGGATTTTTTTGATGGGTTTGATGATAAAGTTAATAGTTTGCAGAATAATATACAAAGAGCTATTGATTCTAACAGCATTAATGTATCTGATTTGGAGAATTATGCTAATTTAGTGGAATCGATGAGGTTATCAGCTTCAAGGGCTAGAAGTGTTGTTGAAGCTTCTATGGATAGCGTTGGGAACTCTTACAAAGATAATCGAAAACCATCAGGTAGAAAAAAAAGGCTGACGATGCTAGGTTTGAGTTGTTAAAATTTCTTGGGGGTATGTTTGGCAAAAAATCGGTGGCATCAAAGCCTAACAAAGTAAAAGATGATGTTAAGCCAGAGACTGTGGATACTAATTTAAATAATAAAATTCTAGGAAATGTTTTGTTGCCTGCTGTGGAAGATAGGGTTTTTAGTTCACGTAATAATGAAAAACGTGTTTCAAATCAAGGCTTTGCTCAAGATTCTTTGAATAAGTCTGATTTGGATCAAGAAAGGGATAGGGGAATATATTTTGATTTGGAGACACAGAAAATAAGGTCCGACTTTCTGGGTGCAAATGCTAAGAGATTTGTTGATGGTGATGAGTATAATTACGAGAGCAAAAGACTACAGTTCACAAATACTCATGACATCTCTTTCAACTCAAGTAATGCGAATGAGAGGAAAAGATGGAAATCCAATGATAATATGCTTGATTCCATGGATTTCAGTGTCAGATTGGAACACATGAAAACTGAAACTTCCTTTATACATGAGCAGCTGCATCATGAATCTAGTAGATCTTACAGGTATTCTCACAACCCAGAGAAGAGAGAAAATGAGGCATATGGAAAGAGACAGCACTATGAAGATGATTCCCACCAAGCTGATCGTGTAACAGCAGCTAAGAATGAGGTCATTTCATCATCATCGTCAAAGTTTGTCGATGATGTGGCCTTTGATAAGTATCTTACAGAAGCTAGTGGTCTTCTTAAAGAAGCCAAAGAGTGTATGAGGGAACGACGAGATGAAGGACGTGTAGAAGTCATCTTGAATAGGTCCGACACATTACTCTTGCAGGCCATCGCAATGAAGCCCATGATCCTGTTGGCAGTGGGCCAGTTAGGCAACACTTATCTTCTTCGCGGAGAATTGAAACTACATGTCAGTCATGAGCTGAGAACTCTTCTTACTAAAAATGATCCCATAACTGGTCGGAGGCCGCAAGGAAGAGTAGTTAACAGACTAGATCAAGTTTCAAGTAGAGATGAAGTTATATCACTCTTAGTTAGTGCTTGTGAAGAGTGTGAAGACCTCCTTGTGAGAGCTGGGCGAAAATATCGGCTTGCATTATCAATCGATGGAGATGACGTGAGATCCCTTTATAATTGGGGTCTTGCTCTGTCTTATCGTGCACAGTTGATTGCATATGTAGGACCGGTAATCATTTCTGGAACTGAAATTTAATTTCTTGTCCGTTGCAAAAAAAAATATTGGTCAAAGCGAACCGGTTTGATTAACTTTTTATGGGTGACCTTCATCAGGTGCGGGGGAGGATGTGATTGCTTATTGTGAGGGATTGCAATTTTTAATTGCAGATTTTTTAAATGTTGGGTTACGTCTTTCTGATTTCAGGAAACTGCATACGATGCTGACAAACTATTCTTGGCTGCAATTGATAAATTTGATGCCATGATACTAGAGGCAATGTTCATGCACCTGATGGTACGTGTAACTTATTTTGTGTCAGTCAAGTTAATGTCACAATGTTGATATGTTAACTGAATGGAACTCATACAACCATCGACAACTGATTTATATCCCCCTCAACTGTTTAGTGGAATCATAACCATGAAACAGATATTGTTCCGCAATCTGCTAATTAATTGAAGTTCTTTATTGAGATAAGAAAACCATTTTTGTCTTTCCTGGAGCTCCAAATATAGAAGTCCCTATAATTTAACTTAGCACTCGGCTGTGTCTGTGTCACTGCATGTCTATATCATCACACGGTTTATATATCTTTATGATTATTGGAATAGAGCATTCATATTTACTGGATGACAGGCATAATTTAACATTTATTGAATGAATGGTGAATATGGAATTCCCCTTAATACTCCGTATGTTTGATTTACAGCCCTGTTTAGATGGGGAGCCATATTGCAGCAACGATCTCACTTAAGACCTCGTAACAGTAAAGAGAAGATGAAGTTACTACTGCAGGCTAAGAGGTTATATGAAGATGCACTCCATATGGACTCCAAAAATCTGCAAGTAAGAGATGCCTTAACATCATGTGTATCCGAGCTGAAGTATAGGTATTTTTAGTCATTACGGTTTATGATAGCGGTAACGAAAACTCCTACAAATTGATCTCTCTAAACTTTCTCTGCTATCCCGTATAATTTTTGGTGCGTTCTTCTTACCTATTATGGGCAAAATGCAACATGGATTCTTGTCTTCATAGTATAAGAATAAAACAATGATAATGCTTATATATTAAATAAAATTAGCTATAATATCATTAGAATTGTATCTAACTCTCTATATAACATACGATTTGCTGTTAAATTCTGCTTACTGTCAAGGATGGACCAATGGGACTCGACGAGGGCAGTCGTCTTTTGAAAATTTCAAATTCTCATATAATTTAAGTATTTTCTTTATATTGATTCGTCCCCAATATTAAATCTTGCTCTGTCCTTGTTTGCTGTAGTAATGCTTTAAAGGATCCATTGCTCCACATTTTCATTATTAAAATTACCAATATGTTCTGTTTCTACTAGCCGTTAATTAGATTCGTAGTATGATACAGTCTAGAATCTGTTTGTTTGATGGCATAACTGGGAAAATAAGGAACAAAGCAATGAGAAAACTATTATGTAGGAGTTTGTTTTCCAGAGAACTCAAAATCGATTCCTTTTCTGAATTGATTGCTTTCAGGTTGATTTTCATTTCTGGGTCTCTCTGAATTAATACATCCGAATTATAATCACCAAATATAGTTTGCTTTTTTATTGTGGATTTCTGTTTTTGGTGTTTATGTTCGGATTTCTTCAATGCTACCCTAAGCCGTGGTCCTCAATCTATCCCGGAAAACTTTTAGCATCCCAGCAAAGGTAACAATCCCTGCTAAAGTTCGATCTTCTCCGACAACCCAGACGTGACCTACACGGTGTGAGAGTGCCTGAATCATCACTGCCACCAATGAGCTCCATGGATGACATACAATGACCTCTGATCTCCTCACCACCTTCACTGAATGCCCTCCCGACCTCCCATTGCTCCTCCTAATAACCCCGAAGCCCTCGTCCTCAGAAGATGAGGAACACGATGATGAAACTGATGAGATTCCCGAGGAAATCCCTGAATCTTCTTCCATCAATTCCAGGGCTTTCACTAGATTCCTTTCTTGCAACCTCTCTTTCACCAACTGAATCAAATCCTCCGGCGGTCCACCACAATCGATATAAGCCATCAAATCACCAGCTGAAAGTGTCACAATGGCAGCCACAACATCCTCATCACAAGAATTCAAAGTGAAGGGCGAAATTTCTCCGACCAACTTGCCATCACCATCGACGATTGCAACAGAAGTTTGTATCTCAAGGGACTGAGCAATGGAGGGCAAGGCCGATGAAGCCGGGTTATCATAATGAAAGGTTGTGATGTTCTGAGCATCGATGATGTCGAGGGAGTTGATTGGATTAACAGCAGTTTGGCTCAAAAGAGCAATTGAATTCACAAGGTAACGAACTATATCTTCTTGAGTTAGCCAACAATGTTGCAGGTTATTATGGAAAGTTGAATTGGACAGAGCATTTTGAAGAAGCTTTTTCCTTGAATTCCTGCTGCTGTTCTCCAATGGTATCACGAGATTTTGTGCTCCTTCCAAGATCAAATCTATAGCTTCCACAAAACTGAAAAAATAAAATCAATGAATGAATTAATAATGAAACAGGCAAATTTAAAGGGGGAAAAAAAAGGAATTCACCCCCCACCCACCCACCAAAAAAAAACCGACCTCGCGTTAGGTTCTAAATGGCGGACAAAATCTCCTGATTTACGAATGAGAATGGAAACAGGGGCTTGAAGAGCAGATCCAGGATTCGACAGGTTTTCTTCCTTGCATAAGAAACCGATAATATCAACCATGCATACTTTTCCTACGCAACGGCACTCGTCAAGATCGGCGGCGGCGACCTTTTCGGCGGCTTCCGGTATCTGACCGTGCTTACAGCTCCAAACACTGACACAACTATCCCCTGATCTCTTCAACGCCGACAAGGCGTCAGCAACCGTGGCGGAGATAGAGAGGCACCGCAACGGCGGCTTGCCCAAACATAGGTCAGATACCTCACGCGCCAACAAGCTAGCTGCCATGCACCAATGAACGATCCAAGAGATGAACGAAACGAAAGGGTGCTTTAAAAAAAGGGAAAATGGATGTTCCTAGAGAAATGAAAATTATACGAAAGGAGCAGAGAGATTCATGGGAAGATTGTGTGGTATTTATAGGGAGTTGTTTACCGGGTATAGCCGGTCAGCGTGGGCAATACTTATCAAAACGGGCGGGATCCGGTTTATGCGCTTTTTACAGCTAGAATAAGTTGTGCTCTAAGTATACATGTAGATATTTTCTTTTTATGTTAGAAATTTGTAAGTTGGTGAATTGATTTTTTTAATTATTTTAAATATTAATTGAATTTTAAATTCATTGAGCATATTTAATAACTAATTTTTCATATGATTCATTCTCGTAGTTTATGGGCTTTCATGTACAGTACGGACTGTCATTTTCTTTGCAGCTGGAAAAAGAAGATATTTTTTTAAGCTGTACGATTCATCCTACTGTATGCTGCAAAACTTTATAGCAGCCACAGGTTTATTAGCTTTTCCTAAACTCTTGGAATTCTGTGAATGAGCATTTTCTAAATATGGATGAGCGTTTCATCTAATTGAGCTAAAACAGTTTTGAGTTATTTAAGTTGATAAATTTTATTTTATTTTTTTATTTTATATTTAAATTTAATTATAAATATTTGTAATATTATAGTACTATATATTCATATTTTTTCATATGTGATATTTCATACATAGTTGAGAGACTTGACTCAAACTTGAAAATAAATTCATTTATTACTAAAATTTTGAGTTCTATTCAAGTTATTTGAGTTATTTTATAACTCGACTCAAATTTGAAAAAAATTTAGTCGAGTTGAGTCAATTTGAGTCTTATTTTCGAGTCGATTTGATTCAAAAATATCAGTTTTCAAGTCGAGTCAAGTTTTACTCATCCATATTTTTGAATATATCAAGAATAAGAGACCAACTTATGATTTTATGTTAAGCCAATGGTGAATCAATTGCTTGTTTAAGTGGTCACGTATCTACCTTCAAATTTAAATTTTCTTTGATTATTTACTCATTTTATTGATTATGTTCATATTGACATTTTATTTGTGATCATTCTATACAAAAATATGTGTTGTTAATATATATGTGCTCACTCTCGAAAATATTTTTTAAACCGCCACTATATAAGAGTGAATTAAATATATATATATATATATATTAAAAATTATAAAACTATAAAATTAAATCATCAATAAAAATATCTAAATTATATAAAAATTTTAAAAAAATTATAATGAACATTCCAACGCCAATAGCTGTCATGAACCTTAACCAATGCTTTCTAAATCTCAATGAACTTCAACCACAGCCACAACTGATATCGTTAGACGTTTTATAAGGTTGTTAACCCTAATTGATGCACCAACTCGAAGCTTATCGACCACTAACATAGCTAGAAATTAAAATTAAATAAAAATATAAACCTTAAAATATTAAATATTGTATCTAAAAAATAATAGTATTATTTGTAACTATAAATTAATCCCAACTTGTTAAAAGTTCAATTATTTGTAAATATTTTTTTTGTTTTCATATCGTTATCTTTATGAGGTGTACATTTTGGATTATTTGACTTGTTTTTTACCATAAAATGAATGGTAATAATCATACAAGACACATCTAGCTGGGCAATGGTTAGATAAAGGGTTATATTTACATTTTAAATAATTTACATGAAGAGTGAAAAAAACTAGACGTTTAACGAATGTGGAAAACTGACGAAGGAGAGTTAGGCGTGAGTATTCGATTAAGTTAAACCAAGTTGAATTAGAAATTTTGAGTTATTCAAGTTGATAAGTCTTATTTTATAATTTAAATTTTATTTTATTTTTTAATCAAATTGAGTCGAGTTATTTGAATTTCTATTTGAATTTAATTATCAATATTTATAATGTTATGGTACTAATCGATTATAATCTAAACAATTTTTTTATAATAATATACGATATACATATATATTTCTTCATATTTTTTTATATATGATATATGTACATATAATATAGGATCCTGTTACACAATGTAAAACTCTTTTAGTTTTACACAGATTTAGGACCGTTAGATGAGTGAAAATATATGTATGAGATTAACAGTAGGAAATGAAAAGATATTCACTAGAAAAAAACAATAAGTCAATCTCAGTCATCTACTTTCACTTATCAAACAGCCTTAAATATGTGTAAAACAAAAAGTTTTATATTGTGTAATTGGATCCTAACCATATATATTAGAAAAATAATTGAATGAATTGATTCCATTTATAACTAATTAATAATAAGTCATTTCACTTGGTTAATGACCTTAATTTTTGATTTAAAGTTGCATCTATTCAATCATACTTATTTAACATCCTTTAATGAAAATGTTAAGTCATTTCATCACAAGGATAAGTCCTTTAATCGAAAGGTCTTAACCCTTCAATCCATTTCGTCCTCTATATATAGTATAGTTAAGGCACAAATCCAAGAGACAACTTGAGACACAATTCACAATGTTGAATTAGGAAAACTCTTAGAAAGTTTCTTTCAAATTTGTTCTTTCCGGTGATAGAGAAAGGCAAGATTGTATTCGACTGATCACTACGTTTACGTTTACTGTTGTGATCGTTTGTTGTTGTATCTTGGGAGACCGACGTCCAACGTTACTCAAAGCATCGAGGAGAGGACGAATTTGTCTTAAGGAAATTGTTCATGCATACCTCAATAAAAATCCTTCCAACAAAAATCCTTCTTCGATTTATTTTACTCTACTCATCCGATTCAGTGTCTACATACGATAAAATAAATCACGTTCCTCTATTTTAATTCTTTATTTATTTGTTTCGTTCAATTATATAATAATATTTATTATTATTTTATCTCGGATTAACATTTTGTCTAAAAATCTTATGACAAATTCTAATAATATTTTGTTCTAATCCGAGATATATGAACGAGTGATTTATTGATTTTTCAAATCAAGACAAACACTAAAAGGAGACATTTACAACTCATTCGGAATTGTTGGTTAGCACGGTTTGCAACATTGGAATTCAAACTAGAGATTACACGGTTAAGTCTGAGTCTACGAGCCTCATCATTGAAACCATCCTTGGAGACTTGAGTGAATTGGCACAACTTTTAGTTTACGTGGATAAATTGCAGATTACTTATTTCTTACATGAATAACTTGCGTGGATAACTTGCAAATGATATTGTTTTTGCATGAACCACTAAATTGTAAAGGTATGTGTGTTTATATCCACTAACCCTTGTGCAATGATAAGGCACATTGGTATAACCTTATAGGTTGCATATCAAAATAAATTTCAAAAGTAATTTGCAATTTGCACCATGTGCAGAATTTTTTAACCGCTACGTCTGTTGATGGTTGCGTACTTGGTGATTCAATGATAAGGTACATATGAAACATTTTACAAAACCTTTTCAAGTTCGCTATGAAACATTTTGCAGGTTTCAAAATTAAGGACAAACCTTGGTGTAACGTGATAAGGCTCGTATTTTTTTAACGAATGGTGAATTTCGATCAAGAAATCGAAAAGGTATGTGTGATCATTCAATATTTTTTTATAATATTTATACATTGAGATTATACTATTGTTTCGTGTTTTATTAAATTTCCACCGTTCAACAGCAGTTAGTTCTGTTTCGAGAATTGATTTATTAAATTCTCAATCTTCAACAGAAATTGGTTTTGTTTCGGGTTGTAATCCCATTGTCCAACAGAAGTTGGTTTGTTTCGAAATTTAGTTTTACTAAATCCTGGCATTTAACGGTTTCAACAAAATAGTGTTAATTGTGACTATTTGTTTCGGGTTTTAGTTTTACTAAATTCTCATTGTTTAACAGAAATTACTCGATTGTTGGATTTTAGTTTTTGTCTAAAATTCAATGCGACAAATAAGGTACCAAAACAAATTTTTGATTTGTTTGTGTAAACAGAAATCGAGCCTATAATTCTATTTTAGGATTTTAATTCCTGACGTTCAATAGATTTTAATAGTTTTCTCCGAATAAATTTGTTTCAAGATTTTTAATCTTGTCTTCCAACAAAATTTATTTGATTTACTATTTAATAGAAATTGTTTGGAATATTGATTCCAACTCATACTTGAATTAAATTCACTGGTGTTGGTGGTCGAGAGCCACAATAAAAAGCCTATGAAACTCTATGAATATAATTTCAAGACATGACCATAGTAAATATTTGACCATGTTAAATTGGTCAAATATATGATAATCATCCTATTAATAGAGAGGATGAGATAAACATTGTTACTACATTCACTGTTGTTGAATTTTGAAATATTCTGACTATCGATGTCAAAACTGCATCCTGAATAGATTGTCAGATACACTATATGGAGTGTATAGTATCCATAAGAAAACTAAAGAATTATACTTGATATTAGGTCATGAATGCAAAAGCGGAAGAATAAAACCTTAAAATAAATGATGAACGGCATGCTAAGAAAGTTCTGAATTGTCACAAGACATGTGGGAGGAGTTGATTTATAAGATGCCCCACAAGAAAAGGGAAAAGATACCATATGAATTATGGAAGTGGTAGAAAATATTCCTACAACTACTAAAAAGTAATGGGTGTCTTATATAATGTATAATTGAAAGTTGAGACACATACGTCCTCGACAAAATATTATTAGACAAATGATCTCAATTGGAGTTATTTCTATTGATTTTGTAAGATCAAAAGATAACACTGCGGATCCGCTAACCAAATGGTTGAATCGAAATTAAGTTGATAAATATCGAAAGCAACGTGACTAAAGCCCATGAATATTTAAGGAACCATGTGAAGGAAAACCCAACCTAGTTGACTCGAGATCCCAATATTTAGGTTCAATGGGATAATCTACTTGCATAGAGCTTGTGAGGTCATTGTGGGAGTTCATATCTTAAGTCCATTCCTACAATGAAAACAATGACTAAAATGTGGAAAAGGTTAAACAATGTTTTTAATGACCACTATGTGTTTCGATGAGCCGAACAACATAAGTCACCTATGTGAGAGTGAAGTGGAGCTGCTTCAAAGAGACTGTTAGGGAATAATTCTCTAAACTCTTGTAGAACCAGGAGATGTCCACGGCTATATGGACATAACTATGTGAACCAAATTCTTGTTAGTGAGATATTTGTGTGAGGTATGTCATCGCTTACACCAACGACATGACAGTTCAAGGACATCACGTCTATTGGACAACCAGTAAGGTAAACATATTTTCACAAGGGAATGTTCAAATGGGGATGCTTACCTATCCTATGCAAATATCGAACGTAGAATCTATCACCATATCGAGTCAGTGTTTGAACCATCAGGTTCATTCATGTAGGGATTGTTGGAAAAATAATTGAATGAATTGATGTTATTTATATCTAATTAATAAAAAGTCATGTCACTTGGTGAATGAACTTACTTTTGATTTAAAGTTGCATCTATTCAATCATACATATTCAACAATTTTCTTTATGAAAAGATTAAGCCCTTTCATTAAAAGGATAAGTCCTTTAATCAAAAGGTTAAGTCATTTCATCTAAAGGTCTTAACCCTTCAATCTGTTTCCTCCTCTACGAATAAGCTAGTTAAGGCACAAATCCAAGAGATAACTTTGAGACACAATTCACAATGTTAAATTAAGAAAACACTTAGAAAGTTTCTTCCAAATTTGTTCTTTCCAGTAAGACAAGATTGTATTCGACTGATCATTACTGTTGTGACTGTTTGTTGTTGTATCTTGGGAGACCGACGTCTAACGTTACTCAAAACACTGAGGAAATGACGAATTTTTCTTAAGGAAACTGTTCATACATACCTCAACAAAAAGCATTCTTCAATTTATTTTACTCTACTCATATGATTCGGTGTCTATATACGAGTAAACAAATCAAGTTCCACTATTTTAATTCTTTATTTATTTTTTTCATTCTATTATATAATAATATTTATTTGCTTCTTTATATATATATATATCATACAAAGTTAAGTATTCGACTCGAATTTAAAAATCAATCAATTAATTGCTAATAAGTTTAAGTTATTCGAGTCTTATTTTATAAATAAACTAGAATTTAAATTTTTTAAAATTAAATCAAATTTATAAAATTCTAAATCAAATTAAATCAAAAAATTAGCATCATATTGAATCAAAAAAATTAATTTTTGAGTTTTGATCTCCTCTAAACAAAGCAATCCAATCCGGTGCTGCGTCAGCACTGACGTTTATACAAATTAGTCTCCTGTGCCTGCTTGAAAAGATCGGCCGATTCTACCTGTCAGCTACGACACGTGTGGGTAATATCCGGTTATAGTTTAGTCAAAAGTTTCCCGGTCTAATTCAATCTAAATATATTAGGATTATTGGTTTGGTTGTTTTGTATAAAAATTAATTATTTAAACATATTAATTATAATTATAATTATAGTTATAATTATAATCGAACCTGAAATCTTTTAATATATATCATTATATTATTCATGAGAATTTTAAAACCAATTACATAATGCAAGTAATTGAGTTAAAAATATTTTAATTTGATTAATATTTAAAATTATAGTTTAAATAATTAATAATACTTTTTTGAAGAAGAATATCCTGGCCGCCTAATTTAGAATTGACGAAGAATATCCAAAGGTACAGAAGAATGTCGGATCAAGCCATTTCCATCCATCCGTACGTACGTTAGATGAATGTGCCACGTATTCATTCAGACATCACAAATCAGCCGAATATCAAATAATTGAATTTCATGAAATAAAATGGGATAATAATAATAATAATGGGTAGGTTTATAAAATAAATAAATAATAACGGATTCAGTCCTTGAAGAAGTAGAGTTCTCTCATCGTCGTCAATCAATTTTAAATTGTTCAAATCCTTAATCAAATGGTTAAAGCCTCTAATTTAGAGAAAAATAAATAGTAATGAAATTAGAATTAATTTTAGGGTAAAGTACACATTTAATACCCCCAACTATCACTTTCAGTTTTGGTCACCGAATTATTTTTCGTTTCAAAATTATACCTAATGTAAAACTCTTTTAGTTATACGCATATGTTAAATAGTCTAAGGTGATTATAAGGTAATATTTGTTTAGAATTTTCTTAATCAATTAACAACGCGCAAACACCCTGAGACGTAGCTGCTCGAACCCATAACTTCTAGGATGAATAACATTATCTTTTATCGCTTGTCAGTTCTCTTAATTTTATATATTTAAAATGACGGTTCTCTTAATTTTATATATTTAAAAATGATTGGTTAAAGATTATAACATTATCTTTAAAAACAATGTTATCTAAATGTAAAATTACTTACGACATCACCGATAATGTTATATTACATTTTAGATTTATACGATCGGAATGGAATATAATTCATGAATTCTTGTACTATGAACCCTTTGAACCAGAACCGGCATACATATGGGCTCTGCCTTTCGACACGAACCAGCAAACCGAAGGCTGGAAGTGTATTGCTGCATTGGTATGACCATCTTAAAAGCTTATAAAACAACAAAAGCCCATTTCAAATCCTTGGGATGATCTTATAAACTCTTCTTTAATGGTGTGAAGAGCCCAGATTTATTCGTAAATGTTTGAAATATATTGCAATAATCATTTGAAAACCCAAACAGGCATAAAACTTCAAGTTAAACGAAGTACATCATAAAGCTTCGCTTGTATCTAAATTATACAAGACGATGGAAAAACGTGGAGCAGCTCAGAATTTGATCCTAAGAGATTGAAACAGGCATATGTGAGGGAGAAGCCAGCCACCCGCCCTTTGAAACAGCAATGCGACCGTAGTTGCTCCTTAGTCGCTCAATCTAATTGATGTCAATGACACACATCAAAGAATGTTTTGCTCAGTCATTTGAGAGATGATTCTCTTCAGCAACCTTAACAATCAGCAACTTTTGTATATACCAATCAGACTCCACAAAGATCTGCAATGCAGTGAAAAAGAAATCGTTAGAACTGATATTTATCGATTCGAGACGGCAAGTAAACATCTTAGTCTGTTTGGTAAAATCAGAAGATATGATACCAACCACCACATCTGGCAACGGGTCAAAAGTCTTCTTCTCTCTAGTGTCGGATACTGTAATTCCACTAATTTTCTGGATTCCGAGTTTAGTTGCAATCAAGTTCTGCACATGAAAATGCGTGAAATACAAATGAAGCAAAAACATCGACAAAGTAGTTGCATATGGAATAGCAGCACAATCTGTGAACAGAAATCCAACTGTCCATGGTAATTTATACAAGGGAGAAAAAGAGAATTAATAGCCATCAAATGATGCAATATCTTGCATTCGATCGTAAATGATTGCATGATGAAGTTCAGGCCAGAGCCTTAACCAAAACAACCAGATAAAAAAATGTAAGGTCCAGAAATTTTCTTCATACCAGATGGAAATTAGTGGAACCGAATGCTCCCACTTGTGGCAATGCCTACACAAGTGTAAAATCTTTATTAACTATTGCTTTAAATCATATTTTTATATATTCTATATAAAAAAGAAAAGCATTACTACAAATGTTTATTTGTCTATTGAAAGTTATGCAGATCACAAACTCGCAAAATAAACAGAAGACACAGAATTCAATGGAGTTTTTCTTTTTCCTTTTAAGAAAATAAAAATGAATTATTTGTTTCAGATTAGTACGGACTTCACAAAAGGCAACACAAAACTTAGTCTTCGAAAGCTGTAAGAATGTTTTAACTTACTGCTCCAAGAATTTGCTGGGTTTGCAAGCGGCCAGGTTCACCCAAATTTGTACGCCGTGTTATCTGAAATTTACCAAGAATATTGGTCCCCTCTACCTTCATTTGTGCAGAGTCAGGTGAACCCAATTTCAATTGATAAAGGTAATTGTGAATTCCCCCGCCAGATCTGATAAGAATAGGTGGCTTAAATATCTCCCTGCCACTAAATGATTATCAGTTTTAGTTAATTACTCAAAAAAAAATCAGAATTCAGAACTCAAAGGACTGCTCGGGCAAGCTACTAATAATAATAAAAAATCAAAATTACATATCCATGGGATATAACCGATACTTACCCAGTTGATGAACTATCTGCAGGATGGAGTTCATCATAGTTCATCAAGTTTTAGTACTGTAGCACTCCAATGAGGAGCTGGTTCAAACACAACTTGGTCCATATAAAGATTTGTTTTTGTATGATTCTCTATGCAAGCTTCTAAATAGGTAGTTTCCTGATATAGAAAAATTCAGCTATTACAGAAGGACGAATGCCCAAGATGATTCACAACTTTTACAATTAATAAGGCGGACTTAAACAGATGTTAAGACAACAGTGCTAGTATAGGCTGCACTTCTCATAGATCAACAACTATAAAACCAAACGAGACACTCCAATCATCAGATGGTAGCTTTACATATTCCAGAAACACACATCTGGTTTTGCTTCTTATACTACGAAAGAGAAACAACAAAAAGAAAGAGAAAGTAACAGAAGAAAACTCAGAGGGTGGGGGTGAATAATGAAGGATAGCCCTTGCCTTGCCCTCCCCTCGCAAAATGCTCAGCGAAGGAGGGATAAAATACTGAGTCTGTTGGAATTTATTTGATATCAATTTCATTGCAAATCACATTTTAATTTATATATTTCAAGCCATATTTAACCCTTTTATTTCTATCGTTTGTGTGACATAAAAAGAATCTATTGCAGCAGCATGAGTATCTAGGCTTTATAAACTTGCATTAGATAATTCAAGTTAATCTCAACCTACTTTGACAGAGCGAACCTGCACAACAGAGGTAAAATCATTACAACTTTGAATGGAAAAATCAAAGTTAAAGCGAAGGGTGAGAGTCTCAAATAACGAAGTTGAAGCAAAAAGTTGCTCTGAAGTCTGCCAAGGGCAGCATAAACAGAATACAAATTCATTTCTTTATAAAGGCATGGGACAGTACCTTTGTCCTAACTGATAAAGGGTTCGCAACAACGAACTTGAAAAACTGTGGAAGATATTTTCCTTCTCCATTATCAATGTACAATGCAGTGCAAACCAGCCTAAATTTTGTCTCGCAACAAACAAAGATCAAGTTAGAGGGAAAATAATTAATTAAAGGAGACAGAAAAATCAATCAGCTACTACGTATGTATGAGCTCCAAGTTCCTTGACATCATGTTCCACAATGAAATCATAACGCCCGTTTGCACGTATGGATTCAACAGGTGATTTTGATGTATCCAATAGGATGATCCTCTGCCTCTCCGTCTGAATTTCAGCCTACAATAAAACAAAGACTCCTCGCTTCTTGAGATTTTGTATCAAACCAAACCAAATGTTTTTGAGTGTCAATGTGTGTATAAACATCAAATGTAAACCCCGGTTTGACATTAATCTCAGCATACATGAAATTAAGTAAAATTACAGGAAAAAAATATTTTCGATACTCAAACAAGCTTAAGTAGAAGCACATGATCCAACCCTTTTTCGACTTCCATAATAGTAATACAAAAGCTTAGTCAAACTCAATTAAAGAGGGGAATAAAGTGTCAATTATCAAATGCAACGGATAAACAGTTGCAATCAGCTAAAAATTGCGGCAAATCCATAAAAAATCAACAAATTAAACAAACTGACCTTAATAATGATGTCCATAACTTCAACATTAGAGCTGTTATTGATACTAATATAGCTGCAGAATGTCTCCCCCAAATAAATCGCACTACACTAATTTAATTGAAAAAAAGTAAATAACAACCAAGTAAACCGAAATTTTTAAATAAAATAACAAAAAGGGAGAATAAGTAAGTAGTGAGACCCCAATGATTGAGGGAGGAGGAGGAGACCAGAGAAGCCCATAGCATCAGATGGATGGTAGAGGAGGAATCGATTCCCGTAAGTCAAATCGGAGGAGTCCAACGACTTACTGAGTTGGGTAGACAAGAGTGGAGGTAGGTTGGCGGCGGCGAGTGGATCGTCGAAGAAGCCTTCGCCGACGAAGAGATCGGCGGGGTCGACGCGGAACGGAGGTTCGACGTGGAAGATGGCTTGCAAAGCCGCATTACCCTGAAAGCGAGGGAGTGGCTTCCTTGTGGAGCCGTGCTCATGGCTACGGTTGTGGGTGATTGAAGCTCTGGGAAACTATCAGTGAGAAGGATATTAGGTGACGGCGGGATGCGGAATCAGGACTCAGTACTGGGTTTCAGTTCGGACGATTTGGGATGAATTCCATAATTATAAGTCATTTGACTCTGGTTAAGTGGCACTCTTAAGCGAAATTTACTCATTGAATTTTATTCTATCTTCTATTATACTTATTTTAATTTTTTTTAATTTAATAATTTAATTTTATCCATTGAGGTTTTTGTCATTCAATCGTTAATTTTCTAACGACGCTATACATTGAGGTTTTTATCCATTGAGTAACCACCGTTACTCGGAAGCCATAACTATCCTGGCAACAGACAAAATCTTATGATTTTCGAGTAGTCTTTTTTCTCTTGGACAACAACTCCTATTCTCCTCCAACAAATGATCAGGTGAGACTAACGCCATCGATGGAAAAAGGTGCCAAACTATGCATCTAATGACTTATGCAATTCCTCCTCCAACCAATTATCCAAATCCATAACCTTAACAATTTAAAACATACAAATAAAGATTGTAAGTACATGCCAATAAGAGTGACGCCGAGAAAACCACCGAAAAATTAAGATTACGGTGATAGATTAGGGATGATGGTAAATTGGGGCGACAAATGCTCTAGAATCACCAGTGAACGAGGCTTCGACGGCTCAAGCGATGATGATCGATTTTTACAAGTCTCAGGCAACGACGGAGAATGAGGCATGCAGAGAACCGAAGGTGAAGATTTTTTCAAATTTCACATATTTTCTTATTTTTGTCCATACTTCCCCTCGTTGTACCCATCATCAACATGCTTATCATAGAAGATATTGAGGTTCGATGGAACGTCAATGTTGGAAATCAAAGGAATATTATAGTGGCTCTGCTGAGGACGATATAGATGTTTTGGAACCTACTCTTTACTGCATTTCAAAAGTGCCACAGAGCACAGACCACCAAAAAATTTCAATGGCTAACGCTAAAATCATCTTTCCCACTCCAGAGCTCTTAAGTAAGGATAGAAATTGAAATAATATTAAGATTCAAATAGTATTGATTGTGCATATAAATTTTGAGTTAAAGAGTGCTTTCTGAATTCTAGATTAATTATATCGAGACAAATAAAATTATAATAACGACAAAATAATATTATTGTATTTTTTTTTCAAACCAAAAATATTATTTAAATCAATCATTTTAATGATAATACTAAAGTTTTTTATCGAACAAGTCGATCACTATCTGAGTGATGCTCAACTTTATTCAAAAAGTGTTTGACTCGATTTGATACTCAATAAACTTGATAAAACATTGTTTGACTCGCTTTTGTTAAAAAATATATTATTTGATTCGACTCGTTACTCATTTTAAACTCATTAATTTTTTACCTTTTTAAAAAATATATATGTAAAATTAATTGTCGTAACTGTTTTTTGGGTGACCCATAATTCGCTTTGACTTAAATAAAACTCGTTAGAGTCTCCACCGATCATTTAAAAAATATTTAGGTTGAACGGACACCATCTTACATAATTTGTGTTTTACTAGAAATATGTCAGATTCGGGAGTTGGTTACAGTCAATGAATGATTAGCACCCTTGAACTGTCATTTCGGTACCATTTTAATTTATCGGTTATCTTAATTGCGAACATTAAATTTTAAATTAAAATTGAAAGACTCGATTCAAATTACTTACCTTTTATCGATTGAAATTATCTCTAAGAAAAAAAAGTCAAAAGAATGTTAGATTGTAAAAAAAATTAAAGAGAATAACAAAAAAAGGGTTAAATTAGAAAAATAAGGGAAAAAATTCTTAAAAACATTAAATAAAATCAGGAAAATATTAAATATTTAAAAGAGAAAAAAATAAATAGATAACAATGGAGAACTTTAAACGTAAAAAATATAAAAAAAATGCTAAAAGAAAAAAATGTTTTAAAAAGAATAATAAAATCAATAAATATATAGAAAAAAGGATCTAATTCAAATAAATTGAAATTTATACTAAAATGAGCTACAAAAAGAAAACTAAAGTTAGAGAACTGAATTGCAAAATGTAAAATATTTAAACAGGGATTAAATTGAAAAAATTCAGAATTCCAGAGCCAATTTATAATAGGTGACCAAAATGAATTACGCTTCAAAATTGCAGGGACCGTGGAAATGATTTAACTATTTGCTAATTACAATGTTGTCCATCCCCTATAAATAGCTCAAAACTTAGAAGAAGAAAAATCATTTTTATCCTCATTCCAAAAAAATCACAAAATTCCCTCAATCTTTCTCACAGCTGGCCAAAAACCGGCCACCCGCCGCTCTGGCTGCCACCTTCGACGACTAGAAAATTTAAAACTACCCCCAAATATTCCTCTTGACACCCCAAGACCAAAATCGAACCCCAAATTCCCTAAAAAGCCTTCAAACGACGTAGATATACATTCAAAGTTTCGACCTTTACCTCTTCGACGATGATTTTCAAATCCCAATGACCGTTCCTCCCTCCGAGCACTACCGAGACCTCTCATTTCTTTGGTATGCGATATGGTTTTTTGATGTTGGGTATTTCAATGCTTTTGTTTGATTTTCCCTCGCCCCTTTACTTCGATAGCTTTAGTTATTGTTGAGTATTTTTCTTGTTTTTCTTGTTGGTTGTGTTTGGATATTTTTCTGGTGATTTCGGTTGCTTATCCTCTCTTTCTTCTGTTCCCTGGTGAAGTTTTTATAGCCCCCCAGTCGGGGATGCTTTATGTTTGTTTCGGGAGGGTTGTTTTTCCATCCCCGATTTACTCGGTTGGTGGAGATTATTGTTGACCGACTAAATGGGATGGTTCAGTCCCGATTTAGTTGGGATTCTTTTGCATGGCCGATTTTTTGGGTTGGTGTTAGCTGTTTCATCGGTGTACGGCCGGAAATCTTGGTCGGTTGCTTTGAGTTGGGATTTGGCTATTGTGGTACTGGTGCTGGTGCTTGGTGTTGAAACCCTATCCTTGTTGGGTTCACCGGGTCAGTTTGATGGGTCAGGCTTACCCCCTGGTTTAACTCTTTGATGGGCCTCTTGGACTGTTGGACTTGGACAAGTTAAGACATAAAACTAAATAAATATAACCAAATAAACATAAAATAATATAAATAATTTAAAAAGTATATTATTTTAAAATATATTTATTTTCAAAAATATTTTTAAAACCATATATTATATATATTTTCAGAATGTTTCCAAAAATATATGTCTTCAAAATGTTTTCAAAACTATATATTATATATATGTTTTCAAAAACTATATATTATATATATTTTCAAAATGTTTTCAAAAACTATATATTATATATATATTTTCAAAAAGAATTCAACAACTATATATTATTTTAATATATATACTAAATAAGTCCCGGACGAAAATGGGTGTCTACAATAATAATATTATATGCAACTTAATATAAATATAAATTAACAAAGTTAGGAAAAAAATGTGATCAAAATAGTGTGCCAAGCAATTATAAAGTATAGAATTCAAACTAACAATCCATAAATACACCAAATTAACTGCAACCAAAGTAATAATTCACAAACACAACAAACTAACATATTACAACCATTATTGAAAAAAATTTAAAAATACATAATTAATCTTAAAAACACAATCGACATCCTAAAAGAGTGAAAAAACTTAAACGAACTATTCGTAAATTTATCGAGTAAATTAAATCTTACTAAATTTAACTTGTTAAGATATCAAATCAAATTTAAATTAAATTAAATTAAATATTAACTAAATTTTAATCAAATCAAATTAAATTAAATATTAACTAAATTTTAATCAAATTAAATTCAAATTAACCGTAAACTGTTGAACTCAATTAACATTCCTAGAGAATATCTATTTCATCCCAACAATGGGATCCAACCCTATTAAGGAAGACCAGGCTTTCAATACCCGCGACCACTCAGGTCAGGTTGTCTTTTCAACGCGTTCGACCACACTCTGAGCAGATCCTCATTGGCTCATTCAAATATTTTATTGAGAGGAAACGTCAATTTGGATCCAATGGTATAGGAAAAAAACAACAAAAATAATAACATTTTTCAAGTCAGTCATGAAATCCCCATTTTCCCACTCAAGAATATAACTAATAGGTTTCACATTTTTTTATAATTTATTAAGTGGTTTTAATAGTTAAATATAGTGTTATTTTCTTTGAGATTCTAGAAAGATTCAAGCAATTGAGTTTACAAAGAATCTATGTGATATCAATGATTAATTTTTTTGAACATATAATATATTATAATAAGCCTAATTGATTAACAAAATATTTTTTAACATCAATAATATATTTTTATTATAATTGAAATTTTATTCTGGCTCTTGGTTTTGGAGCCAAATGCGCTTTTGGTACCATCAACAACATAGAACAACGAAAATTTTTAGATGAAAAATGTTTTTTTAATTAACTTAACAATCAAAGTGTGAAAATTAAAAATAGTTATACTTTTGAAAAAGTGTTTGTAAGTATAAAATTATTCAAATATCATCGTTTATTTTCAAATTTTAGAATCGATATATTTCAACATATGTTTAAAAAATATTTTAGTTTTCTATAATATATTTTATCAACGATATCAAACAATTTTTTAAAAAATAAAATCAGTTTTCAATCTAACAACGGTAAACTAAAATCTTAAATCATCCTTATTCTTAATCCATTTTTCGTATTTAAAATATAAAATAAATGTTAGATAAAAATACTAATTCGGGAATAGAGTAATCAAATAATAATAAATTGATATTGTTATTGATTTGACCGAAATAAAATAAAAGTAAAATTAAAATAGATAAATGAAATTATTTACTTGTATGAATACATGAAATCAAATGAGCAGAGTTGAATAAATAGAAAAATAATTTTTGTTGATGTATGTATAAATAGTTTCCTTAAAACATATTTGTCATTCCTCGATGTTTTGAGTAATGTTGGACGTCGGTCTCCTAGGATACAATAACATACGATCACAACACTAAGCACAACTATAGTGATTTATCGAACATAATCTTGCATTTATCCATCACCAGAAATAACGAATTTGAAAGGAATTTTCTAAGTGTTTTCATATTCCAAAGATGTAAGTTATGTCTAAGATTTGTCTCAACTAGCCTATATATAATAGAGAGGAAATGAATCGAAAGGTTAAGACCATTTGAATAAGAGACTTGGATTTTTTTATGAAAATAATTGTTGAAAAGCTAATAAATATAATTTTTTTGACAAAAGCCGCTAATTTTATTAAAAAGAGGAAATATCCCGAATTACAACAAAAGTTTACAATCATAATCGTAAATTAAGCTCGTAATTATGATATTTTTCTATAATCATTGACACAAAAACTAGTCACTTAAGATCACATAATGACCATACAAGAAAAAGGTAAAATACATAAGCAAAAAACTCGAACAAAGATAGATACATATGGATTTGATTGCATCGATAGACGAATTACAAAAAAGGATGAAACTACTGAAAGATCATCAACAAACTGCAAATCAAAGTCAAACAACGTGAAAAACAATATACAAACACAAATCGTGTATCCAAATCTAATATGATAGTCCAAAACAGAAAATATCAACATGATAACATATAAGCACCATTTTGGTTAGTCGTGACAATGTCAAATATATCATTAAAAGAGATATAAATGAAAACAACGACTGAAAACGTGTAAAAAAAACATGAAAAAAACATGTCATAAATGTATAATTATTAAAAATTAAAAACTAAAAATAAAGAAGTGATATAAGAAAATAAAAGGATAATAAAAAAAATTTAACGAACGATAATTAACATTAAAATTTGTGTCATCTTCAATCAATAAATATAAAAAACAAAAGAGATAGGCGAAGCTCATAAATGAGAGAAAACTAGATTTACTTTCGTGTAATATTTCAAGTACTAACTAATATTTATAATTGAATATATACAACTTTAAACAAAAAAATAAATCAATTCACCAAATAACATAACTTATTACTAATTAGTCTATTCACCAGGTGAGATGAATTATCACTTATTATAAATAGTGTTAATATCATTTAATTGTTCTATTATTTTTTAACAATAAATCAACTAAATATTAATCGAAAAATTTAAATCTCATAATTTTGTTGGAAATAATTTTTTATAACCATTGATATTATATTTATTAATCGTTTAATCCGAATTAAATACAATAGAAATAATAACAGCCCTTCTAATTTAATTTACTCTATTTATAAACATTAAGATTTGAAGATATTACCTTTTGCTTAAGTGGTTCAATGCAAGTATTTTTATTTTTTTTGGAAATATTATTTTCAAAAGAAAGAATGCGCCTGAATTTGCTATCTAAACCACTGTTCCTCAAACAATCACATCGTAGGTGTTTACTTTACAGTTGGGTTAAAGACTTATTAGAGAAATTATTAATTTAAAACTCATTAATTATTTTATCTTATAATGTAAAATCAGTAATCTTTTATATTTCGTGATAGCATACGCTGGACGACAAGTGTTGGCTTATTTGTTAAAGGACAAAACAACACGATTCCTCTTAGATTGAGCTATTAAGAGCATGTCATGCCACGTCCATAATTTAATGGTTTTAGAGTTAATTGTATTATATATCCTCAAAATATAATTCTTATTTTAAATTGATCCTTAAACTTTTTAATATTTTAATTTCAACCTTAAACTATGATTCTCATTCTCAATTAGTCCTTAAACTTTTGAATATTCCTATTTCATCCTCAAATTCATCCAAATATGTAATTAATTTCAACCATAATTTAACATAATTTTTGTTTGCTTCATACATATAATAATATAACATGGCTTAACGATTTTATTAACAGGGACATGATTAATATATATGTATAGTTAGGGATGAAATTAGAATGTTTAAAAAAGTTTGGGACTAATTTAGAATGGAAGTCATAGTTTGAGGATGAAATTGAAATTTTTAAAAGTTTGAATACAAGTTTAAAATGATAATCATCATTTAGAGATGAAATTGGAGTATTTAAAAATTTAAGAATCAATTTAAAATAAGTGTGATACTTTGAAGACATGTGATGCAATTAACTCAAAGTTCTAGTAAAATTTTCAGCCTACTCCATTCCGTGTCAAATTTTGTTTTAAATTACTCATCATTATTTAAATAATTTATCAACTAATTTAACTTAAATATATATAAATATATTAGAAGAATATTTTTTAAATTTAATATAATTTGTCCATAATATTAATATTTAACTTTTTATCTTATTTGCGAAAAACAATATTTCGTTGTTCTAGATTAATTGTTAATATTTTTTAATCAGTATAAGGTTGAGAAAAATGAAAACCAATGAAGACCGCCACTTCCTTAATTGAAATAATCAACTGGTCCCCAATTTTAACATACCCTAAATTTTGCGAAGCTTTCTTGGAATTAATGGACCCACGGCTTTCAATATTCACCGGGAAATTTAGAAAAATAGGACTGGGGGCGACATGGCTTTGACATTATACCATCTGATGCAACAAAAAGAAAATGTCCACATCAGATTCGCTGTATACGGGAAATTCTAATTACTACAGTTTCCACCATTATAAAATTTTAATTTAGGATAAACTATACATTTAGTATCTCAATTTTCATTTTCATTTTATTTTAGTCATTTAACTATTTTTTTGAAATCATACCTAACATTTAGTTTTGGCTTCATTTTGGTCACCAACCATTAACAAATTTAACAAAACTACTAAAGATACATTTTTATTTGCAATGATGATGTGGTATTATTTTATAGTGACATATCAACATTACCGTTAATTTTTTAATACAGGTGACCAAAATGATACAAAAACTAAATGTTAGATATGATATTGAAAAAATTAGTTGAATGACCAAAATGAAATAAAAGTGATAATTGATATACTAAACATTTAGTTTACTCTTAATATATTATGTTAAAATAAAAATATTTTCTTATATTTAAGGATAATTGTTATAATACCATTTTTCTATTAATTTTGTTCATATTTTATCAAATTAATTTTTTTTGTTATATTTATGACGACCGTCACGTCAAGTTAGATGTAGATTTTTATCTCATAAAATGAGTCGAGTTTCGGATTGGATGACACATTTCTAAACTTGGATCAAGTTCAAGTGGAAGGGTATGCTTCTTAGGTTAGGTTAGATCGGGTTGATCGAAAATTTAACCTAAATCGATCAATTGCCATCCTTAATACCTTCACTTGGTACTTGATTCAACTTTATAATAGTTTCCTGCCCCGAATTAGACCCAAAATATAGTGACCTTACCTAACCTTCAACTTTTAAATTCTTAATAAAAAATGAAATGGAAAAAAAACAAAAAAAATACTCTCTTAAATTTGACCTATCTTCATATGAACTTATCTTTTAAAAATCTAACTCTATAAAATTAATTATGATAAATATTCATTAAGCCTAAATCCGATTATCTACATCCCTTATTTTCCAGTGATTTATGTCATTTTGTGTTGGTATGAATTTACTTACCAGAAATGGAAACATCTTTTATCATATACCCACCCCTAGTCTGTCATTTTGTGTTTGTCTATACATCTCTCTTTTCCTCACCCGACAATAATTTAATGATTTATTTTAATTTTTGTTTATGAAACATTAGAAGTACTCTTAAAACGTGTGGATATGCTATGCTAATACAACAACAAAGATTTTTAAATAATAATAATAATAATAATAATAAATACTATACTTATTCAATATCTGGGTTGACGTGATAAAAATTAACTTCAATTATAGAATATAAAATATTAAAACATATGATTACATGTCTTCATGATGAAAGTATTAATTTTACCGGCTTTGCCTTCATTTGTATTAAAAATAAGTATTAATTTGACGAATGATATTAATGATAGTAATTAATATTATGTTAATTTAATTTTAAATTTTATCATAAATATGAATTTATTGAATGGTTTAATGATAAAAGAAAATAATTTTTTAGAAAATTTAAATTTAAATAGTTACATTTACATATGTATGCACGTTATCAATAGATTAATCATAGTAAACTATTAAAAAAATATATGGTAAATTATACATTTAATATATAAACTATCATTTTTATTCCGTTTTAGTACCTATTTTTTTTAAAAAAACGTACATAACATTTAGTTTATGTTTCAATTTGACACTCCACCGTTAAAAACTTAGCGGCAACGATGACGTGAAATATTTTCCCATTCTCGGTATTCCCACATCTTGTAATATAAATTTCACGTCATCGACGTCGTTAAATTTTTTATGACGGGACACCAAATTGATACCTAAACTAAACGTTAGATATGTTTAAAAAAAGTAGGTACTAAAGTGAAACAGAAATAATAATTTAAGTACTAAATGCTTAGTTTATCAAAAAAAATATCTTAGTTCTTTTATGTTTGTAAAAAAAATCCATTATTTATGTATTAAATAATCATTTAAATATTAATGTCTTAATCCATTATTATATACCTTTGAAATCAAGTGTATTCCGATCATATGAAGAAAAAGATAATTATGAAAATTATATAATAAAAAAAGTTTAACCGCTAAATTGGAAGAAAAGTACGTGTTGAAGAGATCAGGGCTGGAGATGATTGAGTGGGAACAGAACAAATTTGCATAAACCAAAATGTATGGTCTAATGACCATTTCTCAATTCTCCTTAAACCTAATCCAACTGTCCCATCCCCATTTCTAACTTAAATTCTGCCGATTCAAATTCTCATTTTCTCTATTTCATGCTCTGCAACCTTCTCCAGTCTCAAACTAAGGTAATTATCTTTCTTTAAATTGTTTGACTTTAGCGATATGGTGACGATGAGCTGTTAGTTGAGTATTTATTTTGGATTTTAGTTTGATTAATTAGTTAAACCTTATTTAAGTTGAACTGCTTTTTTTATGATTTGATCTGAATATTGACGCTGTGTGAGCTTCGTAATTGGTGAATTCATTGTATTTTTATGATTTTTTTCCAAGTAAAGTGTAAATTATGTGAACTGGGAGAGGTTTGTTAGAAGTGAGATATTGCAGAGAAAGACATGAGTTGCGGTTGTTTCGGTAGATCAGTTGTTCAGCGTAAACGGAGCACCGCTCAGGCCAACGGCGGTATAGACGGTGAGGATTCACTTTAGACTTCTTAAAATATTATCGTCTAGAAATTTCTTTTTGGAATTTTAGAATTTTAGAGTCGCGAGATTTTGATTTACTGCTTGTTCAAGAATTGTTATTCGGTTTGTTCTGTATTTTTTTTAACACTATCATTGTTTTTTTAAGATTTTTGAAAATTTTTGCAGAGCAATTGCTTCGGAGAGTCAATCATTTCTCATACAATCAATTAAGATCAGCCACAGATGATTTTCATTCAAGCAATAAAATAGGGTATGGAGGTTTTGGAACCGTTTACAAGGTGCTTTAATTTTACTTATATTTATTACTTTATCTAGTCAAATTATGCATACTTAAATCTAAATTAACACGTTAATTGATCAGCGAGAAGTTAAGAACTTTGATGCTGGGATGTTTCGGAGAAGCTTTTTTAATCTATGCTATTCCGAGTTCTCATTTTTCTTAAAGTATTTTTGTTAGATGCATATCGTGACGAGGGTATGAGATATAATCCAACAATTACCCTTCAAATGCAAAGAGAAACTCAAAAATAAATGAAATGAATATACCTGAATTGGATACATACCGGTACCCAAAACTCACACTGAGTTCGAATAAGATAGGTTTCAATTATGCATATTTTTCCTTTCAGTTTTATATTTTCTTATGTTATTGGGGGACCTTTATATCTCGTTGACTTCTGTGCACAATCACAGGGATATCAGGATTCAGGAAATCCATTAGTACTGCTTAAAGCTGATTTGATAATATTTGTACTGCTTCTAATGTCTATTGATTTGAATTCAAGTGCAACAGTGCTATATTTTGGCTTAGAACTTTCATAAAAGATTGAGAACATTAGAGAACTAAAAACATTGACTTATTTATAGAAATTTAGCTTTCTGTTGCAACCTTCAATGTTAGTAGACTAAAACTAGAGGCTAACTAGACCTAGAGGGTCAGAGATCTATAAGCCTGAATGCGATTTCCTAATATCGGTTCATTCGTTAGGACATTCTAGCATCCACTTGTAAGTCAAACTTGGTGTCTGACTAATTATATATATGTTGCTAGGGAATTCTAAAAGATGGAACTGAAGTTGCCGTGAAGACACTTGCTGCACAATCAAAACAGGGAGCTCGTGAATTTTTGACGGAGATCAATACTATATCAAATGTCAAGCATCCAAACCTTGTCGAGCTGATCGGGTGTTGTATTGAAGGAGCGAACCGGATATTGGTCTATGAATATGTTGAAAATAAGAGTCTTGATAAAGTTTTGTTAGGTAAGATGATCTGAAGTTTGTGTTTCAATGGTTACCAATAACATTGAGGAAGACTTAATTATCATTTTTGAATTCCTTGGTTTTGCAGATCAAAGGAGTACAAATATCAAATTGGATTGGAGCAAGAGGTCAGCTATTTGTATAGGTATTGCTAGGGGTCTTGCCTTCCTTCACGAAGAACTTGTTCCGCATATTGTTCATAGAGACATCAAATCTAGTAACATACTTCTTGACAAAGACTTTAACCCTAAAATTGGAGATTTTGGGTTGGCAAAACTTTTTCCAGATAATATCACTCATATTAGTACCAGAATAGCGGGAACAACGTAAGTCACTGCTTCTTTTTCTGCTCTTCTTCAATATTAGATTATTTTTTCTGCTCTGTTTTCCTTTTGAGGCTTTTTGTATTGTCATCCAGTCTGTATTTGACTTCTTCGAGAAGTCATTGTCTACATAGAATATAAAGATCCCAATCACCTTAGCATTGTCTTTGAAATCGAAGATGCTTTCATAAATTCACGTTTAATTTGCACACTTTGACAGCTCAAGAGGGAAATGGAATCTGTATAATCAACATTACCTACATGTGAACAAATCCTTGCTTAATGTTGGTTCAGAAAATGGATTTAGATGGCATTTGTATTTTATTTCTATAGTTTCTTTAATGAGCATATCGTAGCTGAACTCGAACCAGATATCAAACAAGTTAAATTGCATAGCAAGTAGTGGGGAAAGAAGAACTTAGTACATGCTTTATCCAAAGCTTCTCCAGTATCCTATTTCCCTTATGGGTTTGGACTAAGTTTGCGTAGTATGGATAATCAGCATTTCAGGAACTGAATCTGTGAAAAAAATGGCCACTAGAGATCCAATGTTGTCTCTCGGTTTTTGTTCTGAATGAAACCTAAATCTCTAGAATAATTTTTTTATTACGATGAAATGGGAATGGTAATGACTTATGCTTATTTCATTCTGTGCAGTGGTTATCTAGCCCCAGAATATGCTTTGGGTGGTCAGTTAACCATGAAGGCTGATGTTTATAGCTTTGGTGTCCTTGTACTTGAAATCATTAGTGGCCGAAGCAGCTCAAAGACTGACTGGGGAGGCACGGGGATGCTACTCTTGGAATGGGTACACGTTTTTTTTTGTTTAAGGTATTTCTGTAGTTTTACCGTGTATCATTCTTCAACGTAATCAACATATTATTATTGTTTGTTTTGATAGGCATGGCAGCTCCATGAAGAAGGCAAGCTCCTCGAGCTCGTGGATCCTGAGCTCGGAGAATTTCCGGATGAAGAAGTCCTTAGGTACATGAAAGTAGCCTTTTTCTGCACGCAAGCAGCAGCCAATCGAAGGCCTTTAATGAGCCAGGTTATTAAAATGCTGGGACGAAATGTTCGGCTGAACGATAAAGAACTTATGGCACCAGGATTCTTTCAAGATGGAGTGGCATCTTCGAGTAAGAAGTCGATCGAATCGTCTGCCACATCAACCAGCATTCAGATGAGTTCTGTTCCTGTCACTATCACTGACGTTACCCCCAGGTGAAAACCCAAACGTTCATTTTCTTTTCCTTTTTTTCTGGCTATGTAGCCTTGAAAGCATAGCTAGAGGGCATGGAGTAGTAGACCTTTTTTAAATAAGAAAATGAAGCTGAAAGCCTGATGTTGGCGCGGTATATCCCATTAGCTTTAGTTATTAGTTTTACAATTTTTCTTATTATATTTTGTTAATGATTATCATAAAATTAATACAAACTAAGAGAAAATCTAATTTAAAGGCATTCTTCATTCACAATCAGCTCTAATTACACTGCTATCATATTTAATTATAGGAATTGTTTTTATATACATGCTGTCTCAATTTTTGTTAACTTAATCGATCAATTGAAAATTGTTAAATGGATTCTTAGTATTTGATCTAAATGAATAGATACAAATATATATGTATTTAGAAGTACAATTACAAAATTTTCAATAAACATGAATAAAGAGTCCCGTTAATTCAAGGCCAATAGTTCAGTCGCAGTGGGAGGTCGAAGAAGATTCCAACTACGTGAGCCGAGCGCTCACGTTAATCACCAAATTGCCCTTACAAAATTTAAATCTTGAGATAATTTTAAGATTAGTAAAATTTAATTTGATTTAAAAAAATATTCTTTTATTTGATTTAATGTTTAGAAAGTTAATTTAACTTAATTTAATTTGTAATTTTATAAATATGACTAGACTCAAAAAGATTTTGAATAAAATTTTAGTTATAAAATAAAATTGGAATGATTTGAAATTTTTAGTAATTACTGAATTAATATTTAAATTCGATTTTACTTGATATATGAGCATCACATAAAAAGTATATATATATTAAATAGTATGTGATAATTATAAGATAATGTTTATCTAGAATCTTGAAAAAATATTTGTATATCGTATATAATTATAAAAGTCAATTAAATTATGATCAAGTATTATAATTATTTATAATTAAATTAAATAAAAAATTTAAATTATAAAATAAGACTTATTAATTTAAATAAGTCAAAAAGTTTTAACTTAATTCTATTGAATGCTTAGATAGTTTCTCCCCCCCCCCTAAAATCTGGACCAAACCAGACACAAACAAAATCTTAAGTCTTAACCCGACCCAGATTTTTTTCTTCTTTCTAATTCCTTGTTCTACAACGTTTCTTTTATTATCCTTCTTTCAGCTCGTCCACGAAAGTGAGAGAGACTTTCATTTCAAAATCTCAAAAATTCGATTTTTGTTCTGATATGTACCCAAAAGAACATTGTCTTTCTTTTCAATGCCAAATCCAAGGTAAAACTACGCCACACCCACAAAGAAACCCAGATCATGATCGTCAGAACCTACGGTCGCCGCAACTGTGGTTTAACCAGGACATTTCACGACTCCCTGGACGATGACTTTTCCGACTCATTTCCTTTTCCCAAGAAACGGCGCCGTCTCATGACATCTACGACTTACCCTTACCAGCCACTCAAGAATCCTCTTCCTTATGGCCATCCTCTCAAGAATTCAACGACAACGGCCACAAGAACCAAACTAAAACGTCCGTTAAAACAATAACAACCCAAAGGGATTTTGAATTCGACGATTCGAAAAACGACGTCGTTAGAAGATCCAAGAAACATAAGCAAGGCCAGAGCAAGAAAGAAGTGGGGTGTTCTTCTATGCCATGGATTTCGTCGATTTCGAGTCTTATGGAGGCTCAAGAATTCGGGGAAATGATGAAGCACGTGGACGAAGTTAATTTCGCGCTCGATGGGTTAAAGAAAGGCCACCCGGTAAGGGTCAGGAGAGCGAGCCTCTTGTCTTTGCTTTCGATTTGCGCCACCGCCCCACAGAGGAGATTGTTGAGAACTCATGGGTATTGGGTTTCTAGTTTTAAGGTTCCTTTTGTTGAAATCTCTTGATATGGGCATCTGGGTAGTGTTAATTTTGGATGGACTTTAGAAATTTGAATTCAAATTAGGTTAAAGGTATAGTTTGCTTATTTTGAAGTTTTGTTTTAGCTTTTGGGCTATATGGATTTACAGGAAGAGTTTGAAAAATTGAATTCCCTTCTCAGAACTGATGGCATTTGATTTTGTTATCAATTTTAAAATCTCCTTTGGTGGTTAGTTTGTGTTTCCAGTAGCATTAAGATCTGTTACATTCTGTTATAGTTTTTTCTTACTAGAATCTGGTGTACTTGGTCAGGTTCTGTTCTCTTTTTTTCACAAAAAAAAAAAAAACTAAATAGGTAGATTTTTAAGGAGTTGATAGTGTTTTTTAATATGTAAAATAAATTAAAGACCAAACCATCCTTTATTTTGATTTGTGAGTAACTTTTAGCTAAGTTGATGACTTGACTCTTATGAACAACTCAAGACACTTTATACATAATAAAAATGTATAGGTGCCATTGACTGGCATTCTTATAGTTTGTTACTTTTTCTAAATCTTCTAAATTTACTGGGTCAGTACATGTTTCACTCTAAAAGAATTTGTAGATCAAAGATGGAGTGGTTTTCCCTTAAGACAGAGCATATGCATGAATATACTATTGTTTTCTAGGGGTAAGAATTACTCTGGAGCACTTTGTTGTACTTACACTGGCTTCATAAATATGTTATTTTCAGGATGGCTAAGACAATAATTGATTCTATTTTGGGGCTCAACTTTGATGACATCCCAAGCAACCTGGCTGCTGCGGCTGTTTTCTACGTCTTAACCAATGATGTAAGTTCTTCAGCTCTTGAAGTTGCTTTTTAATTAGTATTTACGAATCTACAAGTAATTTCTGCGTAATAGTTGAGCATTTTATGCACATATAGGGTTCATGTGAGAAGGTGCAATCCAATACTTATTATACTATTATTTCCGTACAAACAGACTTTGTAAATGACCGGTTGTGTGCTTACGTTGGAGTCTCACATTTACTTGCTATACTCTAACTTGTTACAATTGAAGGCGGATGTTAATCTATGCTGCCACACATTTGGTTTTCACCTTTTATCTTCGGTTATTTATATTCTTTATTTTTTAAATTCAAATGTCAAGAGATCCATGCTTATATGCTTAGCTTTTATGCTTTTTGATCCCTTAGACCAATACTTGAATAAAATGTTTTGAACATGTAAATGTAGAATTATTTAGAGTTTAGTTTGAATGCATATCTGTTTGCGTGTTAGAGGGCCGAAATTAAGGAAATCTAGAGTTAAACAGATCAGTATTTTGTTCCATATTTTTAGGGGATTCTGGTAGCTTGTTACCATATCCGTATATATTTATTTCCTATTTATTTCTTTCTGTTTTAGATAGATTTGACCCTATTCTAGGTAAGTTGCAATATCCCTAGAAATTAGGTGTTTCAGCATCTATATATATAGGGAACGTGTAACCTATTTTAAGATATTGAAAATAATAAAGAATTCATCTACTTTCAACATGGTATCAGAGCATTCTCTGAACCCTAAATCCCTCATATAACCAAATACGGGAGAAGTGACTCAACTGCTTCCGTGTCCCAAATCACCTCCAACCAGGTAGCCATGGCCTCCAGTAACAGTAGTGGAGATAGCAATCTCATGCCCATTACAGGACACAAACTGAATGGGAACAACTATCTCCAATGGTCCCACTCTATTATGATGTTCATATGCGGAAGAGGAAAGGATGATTATCTCAAAGGCGTGGCAGCCAAGCCAAGCCAGGATGATGAGAAGTTCAAAATATGGAATTCCGAGAATAATATGGTCATGTCATGGCTCATTAATTCCATGACAAATGAAATCGGAGAGAACTTTCTACTCTACAGAACAGCAAGGGAAATCTGGGAGGCTGCAAAGGAGACGTATTCCAACAATGAGAATACATCTGAGCTGTTTGAAGTGGAGAGTGTTCTCCATGACTTCCGTCAAGGAGATTTAACAATAACCCAGTACTTCAATACACTCAACCGCTATTGGCAACAGCTGGACTCGTTCGAGGAGCACAATTGGAGCTGTCTAGATGATGGAATCAGGTATAGACAGATCATTGAACGGAAGAGAATATATAAGTTTCTGATTGGATTAAATAAAAATCTAGATGAAGTAAGAGGAAGAATCTTGGGATCTAAACCTCTACTTAATATCCGAGAGGCTTTTTCTGAAGTCCGGAGAGAGGAGAGTCGAAAGAAAATCATGATGGGCTCTCAAGAACCAATTACAAGTCTTGAGAGCTCAGCCCTTGCTGTTAGAGGGAACTCCTACAACACCAATGACACCAAACCAAAGAAAGGACGCCCTTGGTGTGATCACTGCCGCCGACCTGGTCACACCAGGGACACTTGCTGGAAAATTCATGGTAAGCCTGCAGATTGAAGTCTTCCCGGTCTGCCAACAACAAAGAGGGGTGAGGCAATTTTGTCTCAATGGATGACAAACCTTCACCTGAACCTACTCCATTCAGCAAGGAACAATTAGAGGTTCTACAGAAGCTGTTCAACCAGTCTTTGCATGCCCAAACCTCCACTGTGGTTGGTACTGGATCCTTAGCCCAAAAAGGTAATTTTTTAAGCGCTCTCAATGTTAAAAAAGAGACGTCAAATCTGTGGATTATAGATTCTGGAGCTTCAGACCATATGACTGGAAATGAGGACCTATTTTCTACTTACAGTCCATGTGATAAGCACTTAACGGTCAGAATAGCCGATGGTTCACTCTCAAAAGTGGTTGGTACAGGTTCTATTAAAGTATCAGAGAATATTACACTTGAATCAGTTCTTCTTGTGCCAAATTTGAATTGCAATTTAATGTCCATTAGTAAACTTACTCGAGACTTGAATTGTGTGACTAAATTTGGTTCAACCATGTGTGAATTTCAGGTCTTGGACTCGGGGAAGATGATTGGCAGTGCTAAAATGTGCTCGGGACTCTATCTTCTCGAGGTTACAAATCCTCCTCAAGGCACAACTTATCAGTCCGATTGTCTAGTGTTTGGTAATCCTACTTCTTTTTCTGTCAGTTGTTCTAATAATGATAGTGCAATCATGTTATGACACTATAGATTAGGTCATCCGAATTTATTGTATCTTGAGAAACTGTTTCCTTCTCTATTTCATAATAAAAATCCAAATGAGTTCAAGTGTGAAATTTGTCAATTCTCCAAACATGTCCGTAATTCTTATCCCAACTAATCTTACAAAGAATCCCATCCTTTTTCAATGATTCACAGTGATGTTTGGGGTTCATCTAAAATAAAAAATGTGACTGGTTCCCGTTGGTTCATTACATTTATTGATGATCACACTCGGCTTACATGGGTCTTTCTCATGAAAGAAAAATCAGAGGCAAGTCAGATTTTCAAAAACTTCAACACCATGATACAAACGTAATTCCAAGCCAAAATCCAAATTCTGAAAACTGACAATGCCAAAGAATACTTCAAATTCATACTCAATGATTATCTCTTGAGTCATGGCATCATTCATCAAAGCTCATGTGTCAATACCCCTCAGCAAAATGGAATTGCTGAAAAGATCTCTTATGTTTTCTACTCATATACCGAAACATTTCTGGGGTGAAGCTATTCTCACTGCGGCATACCTCATAAACCGGCTGCCATCTAGGATTCTCAACTTTCAAAGTCCTTGTCAAACCTTACTTCAGTTTTTCCCAAATACACGTCTCATCTCCACTATTCTCTTCAAGGTTTTCGGGTGTTCAACCTTTGTTCATGTCCATCAACATAAAAGGGATAAACTTGATCCTAGAGCACTTAAGTGTATCTTCCTTGGGTACTCTCCAACTCAAAAGGGGTATAAGTGCTACTCACCGGTCACTAAACAGTACTACCACTCCATGGATGTTACCTTTTTTGAGCACCAGCCCTACTACCCCAAATCTGATATTCAGGGGGAGACCAATTTTACCTAGGAATATCAAATTTGGGATATTGATGAATCAGTTCAGCTCTCTCCAAATCCTGACCAATCTCACCCATCACCAAATTCTAAACAACATCTCTCCCTAGAATCTTCCTACCAAAATCTGGACACTAGTAAATCAACAACTAATAATGAGTTGATTACCTATTCACGGAGGAGGAAGAACCAAAAGGAGATGGAACCACCAACACCTCTGCAGCAAAACCAAGAATTTGATCCTAGTCCAAGATCTTGTGAAGATCCAACACCTCTGCAGTAAAACCAAGAATCTGATCCTAGTCCAAGATCTTGTGAAGATCCTTCAGGTAATCCTAATCTGAGCCCTCACAGAGTGAACTAACTGGTGATGACAGTGACTATCCTATTGCCGTGAGGAAAGGGGTTAGAACTTGCACAAAACATCCTATATACACCTTTATATCATATGAAGGCCTGTCACCAAAATTCAAGTCGTTTGTTGCCAACATCGACAACACTCAGGTCCCAAATAACATACAAGAAGCTCTTGGATCTCCCGAGTGGAAAGCTGCTGTGCATGAAGAAATAAATGCACTGGAAAAGAATGGCACCCGGGAAATATCAGAATTACCATCGGGAAAAAGGCCAGTAGGATGCAAATGGATATTCTCAATCAAGTACAATGAAGATGGAAGTGTTAATCGTTTCAAGGCACGGCTAATGGCAAAGGGATTCACTCAATCGTATGGAATCGACTATGAGGAAACATTTGCCCCAGTAGCCAAGTTAAACACAGTTCGGGTTCTCCTATCTCTAGCTGCAAATCTTGATTGGCCCCTTCACCAACTAGATGTCAAGAATGCCTTTCTAAATGGGGACTTAGCTGAGGAAGTTTACATGTCCCTTCAGGATTTGAGACACCGAAAACTGACAACAAAGTTTGCAAACTTAAAAGATCATTATACGGGCTCAAGCAATCACCAAGAGCTTAGTTTGAGAGATTTACCAAGGTAATAAAGAATCATGGCTATTCTCAATGTCAATCAGATCACACCTTGTTTGTCAAACACTCATTTGCAGGAAAACTGGCTATCCTCATTGTATATGTGGATGACATTATCCTAACAGGAGATTATGAGGAAGAAATCAATACTACCAAAGGTCTTCTAGCAAAGGAATTTGAAATCAAGGACCTTGGACAGCTTAAATACTTCCTAGGTATGGAAATTACAAGGTCAAGAAAGGGAATCTGTGTTTCCCAAAGAAAATACGTACTGGATCTATTAAAAGAAACTGGGATGCTTGGATGTAAGCCAACGGACACACCTATGGATTCAACAACAAAATTAGGCACTAAAGAAAATTGTGCACCGGTGGATAAAGGCAGATACCAAAGGCTAGTGGGTAAACTAATCTACCTTTCTCACACACGACCAGACATTGGTTTTTCTGTCGGCATGGTAAGTCAGTTTATAGAATCCTAAGGTATCTGAAGCTCCAGGGAAAGGATTATTTTTTGAGAAGAATCAAAGAAGAGACATAGAGGTGTTCAGTGATGCAGATTGGGCAGGATCAGTACAAGACCGAAGATCAACTTCAGGGTATTGTACTTATGTGTGGGGAAATCTAGTCGCATGGAGAAGTAAGAAGCAATAAGTGGTGTCAAGGAGCAGTGCAGAAGCTGAATTCCGGGCAATAGCCCATGGTATTTGTGAGGGAATATGGCTAAGAAGGGTACTAGAGGAATTAAGAATTTCTAGTGAAGAACCTATGAAGATGTTCTGTGATAAGCAATCAGCAATCAGCATTGCCAAGAATCCAGTCCATCATGACAGAACTAAGCATGTGGAGATTGATCGACACTTTATAAAGGAGAAGATAGAGGAAGGGATGATCAAAATGCTATATGTACCCACATGTCTTCAAACAACCGACATTCTTACTAAGGCTCTACCAAGAAAGACTTTTGATGATCTAAGTTCCAAGCTGGGGTTAATTAACATTTACCATCCAGCTTGAGGGGGAGTGTAGAATTATTTTGTAACACCCCCAACCCGTATCCGACCCGGATACGAGTCCGAAGTGTCACATTGACTTTTCAAACCTTGACTCTTAAGAAAAATCCCGGGAAATTTAAACCTTTATTTAAAACAAAATACAAACTTTATCAGAGTGCTCGTACTTAATGACTTATTACATGCCAACACTTTATACATAACCAAAAACATACTTTGTCAAATATTTCTGATCTGATCTTTTGGTAAAGAAAACTGACCTGTCTTGCTCCGCATCACTCCTTACTCTTCTCGAAACCTACGTGTGAAACAATCACACGCTAAGTCGAAGACTTAGTGAGGCATAACAACTTAATGCACTTTAAACCTATATTGATACATGCATGTTCTGTTCTATCATGTTACAGCAACTTCATGCATTTTTCATATCGTAAAATCATATCAATTAATTGCAGTAAATACATGCCACACATATTCATCATTAACATTTTATCATATATCACATACTATTTCAATCAAACACTATACACACACAACATCATATCATTTCTATAGCATTTATCATACCACTAACTTATATTTGTTCATATTTCTGGATTAGCCCATGTATATATGTGAACTATCGATGTGAGTCTATAGAGGTTGTGCACTATGCTGTCACCACAGCTCGTATAAATGCACCGAGTGCCCCGTAGAATTGCACCGAAGTGCCGTAGAATTGCACCGAAGTGCCCGTAGAATTGCACCGTAGTGCCATATAATGATGTCCATAAGGACCACGTAGAATTCCTTAAGAATCATATACATATGCTAGGGATCAAGTATGTGTCTTTCGAGACTTCACACATGTTCCAAAGAATACATATGTCCTAAAAACCGAATAGACCCTCGACTCTTGGCATGCCAACTATACCCCTAGCTCTCATGACACTAACATGGGCGTTTATCATTTATTTCATTTCAAATATTCACATAAACTTGTAATTCACTTTCACATATCACGTATCACATAGCTTCTTTTCATATGATCACATAGTCCCGTAGTTCACTTGCACGTAGATCATTTCCATATAATTCACATGTCACATATGTCATGTTTTCATATAATTTCTATCATTTCTCACCAATCACCTTTATTCATATAAACATACTTATCATATCTTGTTCACATAAGATCATATACTTCATATAATATATCGAAACACCTAGAACACTTTCACGTAGCTTATAGTCATAAGTCTTATCTCATACATATACTTGTTTTCACATTATATATATTTCATAGCATTTCTTATACCATCACATATTCCTTTAACATACATAACATATCATGTAACATTATAAGCAATACTTATAAGTCATATTGCTTATATCTTAATCTTATGCCTTCTCTTAACATATATATAATATATAATAATATATATATCTATATATATCTATTCACATGTTCAGGTAATTCACCATTTCATCACATAATTGTGTATTCATATAACTCATTTCATTTCATTTCATATCTATCTATATATCTATATCCTCAAGATTATCCTAATATAAATCATATAGCACTCTTATATTTCGTATTCATCTAGGGCAGACTTATAAACATATCTCACTTCTATTATTTCTATATATATAATCTAATCTGTTACTTAATTCAATTTCATATCACTCTTATAATCTTCTCATATAACTTCACAAATTTCTATCATTCACCCATGTGTTATAGTTTTATTTAAACTTATGAATCTTTCCCATCTAGCTTATCTTATACGTTCATCTTATCATTTATGTTCAAATCCCCTATTTGTACGATTTTCACTTCATCCTATAGATCAATATTATCCAGCTTATTCACTTATCATATAATAATATATTATTTTACTATGATCACAGTTATATCTCATACTTTGCTTTCTCATGTTCACCTATATCATGTCATATGGCTCATATCTTTCTCATGCAGTCACATAGTTCAGTTTCACATATGTATATATATACATTATAGCACATACTTCTCATAACATTACATTCAAAAGCATGTCAACACATATATTCATGCATACATACAATTCATGTCATT